ATTATTTGAGTCAGCTTTGTAGTGCTAGTGCAAAAAAATAAACGTGCACCCCTAGGGGTCCCGAGGACTGAGTTTGGGAAACCTACTGTGTAGTCAAAGCAGAGCCATGAATACATTATATGACTCTGATACAAAGTGCAGCAGATATAAAGGACCAGGCTTGATGGTTAGAATCAAAAATGAGTTTCGGATGAGAGCCAACTAGTGTATGATGTAAGCCTGGATCCAATCTGAATTGTTCTGTTTTATTCATGACTGAAACAGTAAAATTCTGATTGGATCTAGGCTAACAGAGATTAGCTTTTCCACTCAAATTCCCTTTACCCCTATCCTTCGCAAATGTATATGTACAACTGCCAATGCTGATTTAGGCCTTGCCTGGCTGGCTTGATGATGTGTGACCTATCACTGCACTTGACCAACCAATGAAATGTTTCATCCCAGATTCCCCACATACTCGACCTTCCAAGGCATTGTTCTCAGAAATAGTTAGGATGCTTTTATTTTTTTTTACCTTCATTTAACCAGGTAAGCCAGTTGAGAACAAGTTCTCATTTACAACTGCGACCTGGCCAAGTTAAAGCAAAAAACGTTATCTGTTTCCAGAAAAAAAATACGTTTTAGTATCCAGGGACAATACAGTGCTGGCAGGGCAGTAACTACAGTGCTGGCAGGGCAGTAACTAGAGTGAGTGGGAAATACAACAGGTCTGGCAGAAGTTACTGGTAATACACGTTTGGTCAGTCTCTCTCTGGGAAAAACAACAATCACAGACTCCATCACACAACGAGGAGTGTCATGGCAACTCCTGTGTGTGACAAATGATTTCCATCTCTGAATACAATTACTAGGTCCACTATTCACCGACTATAAATAACTAGCTACAGCCCAAATAGTAGCATAATCATGTAATCATGAACATTAGGTTTATCTAATTGTTGTAGGCTCTCACCTATCTATGTCAAAGAAAATAAAACAAATCCGAGATTACATCCAATAATAATAATAATCTCACAGGATGCTGTCAACGTTTGTTTTACATCAATGATTGAAATACTGTAATTTCAGCTGTGACAACAATAACTCACCAGGTTCAGTACAGTAAAGTTAGCTGGCTATGAGGACACATGATGAGTATCAAACATCCAGCTAACTAGGCTAACTTCATCGTCAAAAACATCAGCTAGCTGGTTAACGTTAGCCACTTAGCTAGCTAGCTAAGTAAATTCAATGTAGCTTAGTCATGTCTCAGAACCTGTAGCTAGCTACCAAGCCATAAACAATGGAAGCTTCACTTGCTAAAAATAGATTCATATTGAGAACGTGCATAAATTATACTGGCCAACATTAAGTAGCTAGTTAAGTTAGCAACAGCTAGCCAACTACATTTCTTGACAGTTTCACTTGTCTGTCAAGTTTATAACGTTATCTATTGCTAGCGAGCTAACTTAGCTAAAAAGCTAACTGACTGGCTAATAAAGCCTAGCCCAACTTCCTAACGAGTCAAATAACGAAGTGCTTTATTCCGATACAAATTACACAAACCGTAACAGTCTACTTACCCTTTGTAGTAAGCTTTTACCCGGACTTGGTGAGGGTTTTCGCCGGGGTGAGACATGGTGCTGTCCCGCAACGTCGGCATCATAAACTCTCGGATTCCGAACTCCGCTCGCAGAAGCTGCTTTCCTTCTGGCTGCGACTAACTTAGCTGTGTACCACGCCCAAAACGATCTCCTCTGTAACTTGCCTAGATAGACAAAACAATTAGATAGCTGACTAGCTATGGAAACGAACAATTCGAGTTTTCTTAATTTTACAAAATCCAGACAAAGTAATGTACAACTTCAGGAGTCCGCCAAACAACATTCCCTACTACAAAAAGGCCTCACGACGGACGAATCCATTAGCGGAATGTAGGAGGGGCCAAAAACTACTTGAATCAACAAACTAAACAAGAAGATACACTGTCTGATCGTAGATAATATTCGGTAAATGGAACATATAAATACAAGGCGAATCATATGAATGTCATATATTGTAATGATAGACAAGGAGTAAATGTTATTTTTAACACAATGCTGTAAATGTGAATGTGTTCAGCATTCCGATTGTACCAACTGAAATGAAAGGGGGGGGGGGGGTCAATGGGAAAAATTGTACATGGCCATTTATACATATAATTTATTTTCTATAAAAATATAATGTGGTAGTTGGAAATGTAGTTCTTGAAATAAAATTCATATTTTGGAAATACAAATGGGTCGTTTTGGCTACATTTGCCATACAAAACTAAACCACTTTACAGTCATAGAAGACTGTAAAGTATGCACTCACTACCTGTAAGTCGCTCTGGATAAGAGCGTCTGCTAAATGACTAAAATTTAAAATGTAAAATGTAATACATGAGCATGACACATACCAGCATTTCTCTGTTTGATCATCATGGACTAATCATTATTTATGTATGGTCATTATATATGTAAAAACAAGACATTTGCACCAATCTGTACCTATCCGGTGTATGTGACAATAAAACACACACATACATACATATATGTATTTGTGTATATATATATATAGGCTAATGAAGCTGAGGACTGAGGAAAAGCTGGGGCCTCTTTTCCCGAGTCTTGTGCCCCCTAGTGGTGATAGTGTTACAGTAGATACTGCCAGTAACATAATTAATGTGTAGGAATAGGTCCCCAGACTCCACAAGGCTACCTTTATACTGCGTTTCGTGACACAGCTTGAACTTGACTTGATATTTGTTGTTTGTTGCATGTTGAATAAAACCTTGACTGAGTCTCCAAAATGAGAAATGAGCTTTTCACACTAACCCATCTTGCTCTACTGTGTAAGGTCCTCCCGCACTGCAAGTGGTGCTGTGTCTGGGTTTTCATTCCGTCCGGCCTATTTGTTTTTCTCTCCATTTTAGCAGTACAGGCTTGACGCATTAGAACATGACTGGGATTGTGACAGTCTGAACCGGTGGGTTTTCGTTCGGTCACTTCGCCATGGGTCAGGTCTAATAACAAATCCAGCCAGGTAACGCTAATGATAGGTGAACGATTGTGCATGGTGCATATATAAGGCTCTTATAGGTGGCTATAGAATTGGCCGAGGAAATAGAGGATGATGCCCAAACAGAATATATTTTATGTAGAATTATTATACGATTTTGATTTAGAATAATGAATAAATAAATTATCGTATAGGTAGGTTACTGCAGCCTATAGTTGCCAGCACTGTACATCCAGCGAGAAAAGGCCAAAAGGGGTGCCTGTAGCCCAATGCATGAATTGCCCAATTAAATACATTCCGCACATGATTTAACGACAATTGTTCAAAGATTTTAAATTGCATAACGGATTTGATGCATTGCTATTGCTGAATGAAAATGTTTGTAAAATTCAGCAGTCTGCTTGTCAGTGCATGTTTGTGGCTATAGGGTTTGGAATATTTTCTCGGTCGAGCGTTAGGTGTGTGTTGCACAAAAACTACATACATGTTTGAAAATGAAATAGTATAGCATCAGGAATTGGAACATAATCAATATCAGCAATCTATTCTGTCTCAAATGGTCCCTTTTTACCAAAATGTTTTGAGCAAATTAAAGTAGGCTATACTTTATTTACGCAAATTAGGCTACATGTAAAACATGTGGACAAAATAGCCTATTTCAAACTAGGCCACTTCATTTTGAAGGTTTGTGTAATTTTCTTTAAATTTCATTCAACAATTCAAATGCTGGATACATTTAATTTGATATAGCCTGTTTTTCAGATTCTTCCAGTATTTTTAAGTGTAGGCTATATAAACCTGATGAGTAGGCTATACTAATCAACATGACATCCAAGCGCAGAGGCTTTATCAAAATAAATTTCTGATCTGATTGCAATGTATATTGATTGCAAGGCCTATATATATATATTAGGCTATAGGCTATTGAATTTCGATCATTTCAAACATGGAAAAACTTGGAAAATGTCAAGGTCATATGGGGAGAAATTCAAAAACAGAAATGTACTACCATTATGACAAGGAAATTAACAAAACTGAATGATTTCGTTGAAAACGCAGCAGATCAAAGGAAAAAACCCAACGAACAATTGCTCGATAAGAACTTAATGTCGACCTGATTTTAGTACAATTCCTTGTTTAGGCGTACAAGACCCGGTTTCTGATTTGCTATTTCTGGGCTGATCATGAGCTTCTTTCAATAAATTGAATAGGTCAGTTGAAAACCTAAAAACATGCAATTAATACAGCTCGGGTCTTATTAAACAAACTTCATTAAAATATATTACACTTTTGCAAATAATTCTTTATGACTAAGACAAATAGCCTACTCTAGTGACCAGGGTCCAGGGACATAACTTGGGGGCCTTCATATCTATAGATCTTTAAAGGATTCTTTTTTTTTCTGAGGTCATTGGCCCCAATGTCTCGTTTGTGAATTTAAGACCTATCAATGTAAAATAATACTTTTCTTCGATTTAAGGTTGTAAGAAATGAGCAGAATGTGCACACAGAGCATGGAAACTCTTCACTTCTATCAACCTCTAGATTTATAGCCACGTGAGGAGCACTCTGTCTTGGTCCAGTCAAGCGATCTTCATCACATCCCTTTGATCCAGTGGGCCCCATTTCTCAAGTGTATTCAAATGCACCCAGCACGAAATTGTCATTGACATTGTTATAGATAGGCCTATGCATCTATGATTAGATTTATTTTATGATGGGACAATTTATCAGAAAAATTACATCCCAACAAATATTATCTTAGGGATGTAGAAGGTGGGATTTTTATTTTTTATTTTTTATGAACAAAGTAGGCCACCAGATATAAATGTTATTTTCCAAAAAATACATCCAGCATCCCATATGTCAAATCAAATCAAATATGTTTAGGCTATTTACAAACTTTAAGAGAGCTGTTTTCTGTGTGTCCTTTCCAGTTGGCCCAGTGATACAGACAGTAGCCTAATTTTACCAGTAGAATGATGGACAGGCAGAGCCCTGAAAAGACAGAGGGAGGAGGAGAGCGTGAGACCAATGGAACTGCTGCTACTGTCACTGTCACCTCTAACACCAAAGCAATTACAGCGGTTGCCAACAACAACGCCATGACGACAACAGCCAGCACCACGCCCCCACGCAGTCAGGCCCCTTCCACCTCTCTGGGCACCGCCCCTATAGAGAGCCAGGCGGTTCAGGTGAGATAGGGGACAGGGAGGGAGACAGAGGGGACAGTGTCAGTGTGTGTGGTGAACTTCAAATAATGAAGCCACTAGTCTGGGTTTCAGTTTTAGCTAACATTCCATTCCTTCTCAACGTTGAAAATGTAGCCGAATTTACTGCAGTTGCTGATTGGTAGTTGAAAACAACACTCATATTTTCCATAACAATGTTATGGAACATGGGGTGCGCGCAAATTTGCCGCAATAAGAACACCAACAAACAATATCGTTATGACCTGCTGCGATCATTCTCTTGTGAGAAGGCAGTGTCAATGAAGATCATGTTGTTCAAAGTGTCTAGAGGACTCCATAATGAGAGAGATAAATAATGATATGGAAAATATTAGCCTACAAGATTCAATCGAGCCAAGTTTGCTTCAGTTGCATGCCATTAATGAGAGGAAAGAAACGCAAACCTGCCACCTGTCGTCATTCCTCGCACATATGCTAATCATCATGACTTGCTTAGGCCTACATGTGTAAAACGTTGTAATGCTCATTTCAGTTATATTATTTGTCCCTCCTCTCTTGTTAAGAGATGGAGTCCAGACAGGCTGCTTTAGGAAGTACACACACACCCTGAAAGGACCAACCCAGCAAATTGGTCAGTGTTGATTTTTCAGTGTAACATTTCTAGTGTTGATTCAGGAGTTACATTCACTCTGTAAGAGTGAAATTAACACTCAGTGGTCTAAAATAACCCCTAGTGTTGGTGTTAATAACCAGAGTTATTGTTTTACATTTTGGAGAGTAAAACAGCCCATCAAAACCACGCCCATCATTATCATATTTCCCAGCATGCACTATAGCAAGTAGATATTTTAATTCTTGTTTTTAATATCTGTGTTTTTGCATGTACATTGATTGATTAATCATATGCTACACAAAGATAAATAACATATATATTTCTAAACTAATCCAATCAGTTAGTTAGAGTTTTTGCACCCGTTACTGAAATTGTTTTTCCAGGTTTAATGGTTAGGTAGTCTTCTTATCAACTATCCTAACTCTGACAGTCATTCTGAATGCAGGCTGCGGGTGAATAAAAATGCCAACTTTTGGATATCCTAACGGTGTCTCATATTGAACTGCATATTAAACGTTGAGATTGCTGAAAGACCCGTCTCTTTGGCAAATGACAGGACTGGCAAGGAGTAGAATGTTAGCTAAAAAGACTGTCTTCATTTGAACACCACTTTGCAAGCCAACATAATTTGACTTTGAGGCCTGATGTGGCCTGTAAACCAGGAGTTTCCTAACACCACTGGGTTATGGTAAAACTAGGCCATCAAAGTAAGGCCTTATGACAGGGCTGCCCAACCCTCTTTAGGGAGATCTACTGTCCTGTAGGTTTTCAGTCCAACCATTATTTAGCATATCTGATTCAGCTAGTTAAGGTCTTGTTGAGCAGCTAGCTAATAAGTAGAATCAGGTGTGTTAAATTAGGGTTGGACTGAAAACCCACAGGACCGTAGATCTCCAGGAAAAGGGTTGGGCAGCCCTGCCTTATGATATACAGTATGTATGGTATTGTCATAGTTTAATTTGAATGGTAGCATTCGCCTAGGTACTCACTTGGTGAAAGTCACAAGCCTTTATAAGGAAATAATTCAATAACCATGTCTCTGTCACAAAAAAGTACAGTCATGGGTGGTAACTCAAAACATTCCCTAGAAAAGAAAAGGCAAATTAGGCTTTACACCATACAGTTTTAAAACAACACCCAAAAATGATTTACTGTAACACTACAGGTGTTCATTTCTTGCACTGAGAAAGTTTAACAGCGTCAGCACTAAGCAAAGTGTGTCCAGTTTACTCTAAATGAAGTGTTGTGTTTTACACTGTAGTAGAGCTACGCAAACATCACAATCGAGTTAATTTGAACACTTTAAGAGTTGAATGGGGAACACTGCAACAGAGTTAAATCTTTAACACTTTCAAACGTGTTATGTTAGTAGGCCTACAGTGGGACGCATATGTTCACTGAAAATAGTGTACATTTTACACTTTCCGAGTTAAATGGGGGACAATGCAACAGAGTTAAATCTTTAACACTTTCAAACGTGTTATTAACACTGGTACAGTGGGACTTATATGTTCACTGAGACAGCTATAGTATTACTAGAGACGTTGGTTATGTAATTATTATCCCAGATTGTACCTTATTCCAGAGGAAGATTTGTTTTTAGTTTTTCCAAACAGCCCCCTGTAATAATTGTTTTATTCAATTGAGTCTAAGACGGAAGCCTGGTGGTTTTTATTCTAGGTGTGAAGATATTTAATCATCATGACGATAAAAGGCTTCAGTGATCACTCGTGCTTGGCTGCAAAATGTATACAGTGGCTGTCCCTATAGGTCTTATTTATAAATTGAGGAAATGTGATTGATCATAATCATTATTTTAGCGATCCACGTTAGACGTCCCTCGTAATGAAAAGGCCCCCCATTCTGCTGATGTGAGCTGCTGGGCTCCAACGCTGGACAGCGCAGTTGGTCACTAACGTTATGGATGAGAAAGTGAACTTGCCATTTCCAAAAAGGAGCTCAGTGGGAAATTGGGGAAGTCTTGCTTTGTGATCTGTTGCCTACGCCAACAGCACTAGGGTTTCATTAAATAGGCCTAGGCACTATACTTTTTTTATTGCACAATTCATTAAACTGACGCATTTGGCAATGGTCAAAATCAAATCAAATTGTATTTGTCACAAGCGCCGAATACAACGGGTGTAGACTTTACCGTGAAATGCTTGCTTACGAGCCCTTCCCAACGATGCAGAGTAAAAATATATATATATTTTTTAAAGTAATGAAAGATGAATAAAAACACAAGAAGGAAGCTATATACAGGGAGTACCAGCACCAGATCAATGTGAAGGGGTACGAGGTATTTGTGGTAGATATGCCCATAAAGGCAGAGTAAAGTGACTAGGCATCAGGATAGATAATCATAAGAGTATGAATAAAGAACAGAGTAGCAGCAGCATATGATGAGTGTGAAAGTGTGTGTGTGTGTGTGTGTCCATGTATTTGTGTGTGTTGTGTCAGTATGCGTGTGTGTGTTATGCGTGTGTGTGTGCATATGTAGTGTATGTGTGTGTGTGTGAGTGAGTGGGTATATAGTGTGTATACTGTATATAGTCTTGTGAGTGTTCATAGAGGGTCAATGCAGATAGTCCGGGTAACCATTTAATTAACTATTTAGCAGTCTTATGGCTATTGAGCAGTCTTATGGCTTGGGGGTAGAAGCTGTCTTGGAGAGCCGAAGCTCCGGTACTGTTTGCTGGACGGTAGCAGAGTGAACAGTCTATGGCCATTTTTGGTGCCTTCCTCTGACCAGCATGATATAGAGGTCCTGGATGGCAGGTATCTCGGCCCCAGTGATGTACTGGGCCGTCCACACCACCCTCTGTAACACTTTGCGATCGAGGGAAGTGCATTTCCCATACCAAGCAGTGATGCAGCCAGCCAAGATGTGCAACCAGAGGCGTCTTGCCCATAGGGGACACAAAGGCATGTGGCCCCTCAGATCTGTCCTGTAAAAAAAAAAAAAATGTTTGGTTGTTCATTCTCTGTAATACTACTAGCCACCTAGCAATTTTATGAAATTGGCTTTAGCTAGCCCAGATAGGTTCCCAATCTCATAACTAGCTACCAAGTTAGAGTAGCTAGCTTGCTAACTATCTTAGCTGGTATGCCTGCTGGCAAGGTTGGTAGACTTTAGAAAAGCAAGCAATTACTAAATGTACTGAATAATACTCACATTCCTTTGAATCTTTTACACAGATTTTAGCAGAGATGCAAATTTAGTTTCTTTAAAAAATAAACACCTGTCAGGAGGATACAGACAGCTCAAGAGGTATGCTTAGATATGCAGAAAAATAAACATATTAACATAGAATTAAGCATAATGATTATGGCTCTACATTACAGGAAAAATCTGTTTTAGGTGTTTAAAAAAATGCCAATATGCATGACGCCCCTGTGTGCAACTATAGAACCTTTTGAGGATCCGATGGCCCATGCCAAATCTTTTCAGCCTCCTGAAGGGGAAGAGGCGCTGTCGTGCCCTCTTCACGACTGTGTGGGTGTGGGTGGACCATGTTAAGTCCTTAGTGATGAGGACGCCAAGGAACTTAAAGCTCTTAACCCGCTCCACTACAGTCCTGTTGATGTGGATTGGGCGTGCTCTCCCCTCTTTCTCCTGTAGTCAACAATCAGCTCCTTGGTCTTACTGTTAAGGGAGAGGTTGTTGTCCTGGCGCCACACTGTCTCATTGCCGTCGGTGAAAAGGCCTACCAGCGTCGTGTCGTCAGCAGACTTGATGATGGCGTTGGAGTCGTGCATGGCGACGCAGTCGTGGGTGAACAGGGAGTAAAAGAGGGGACTAAGTACCTGGGCCCCCGTGTTGAGGGTCAGTGTGGCAGAGGTGTTATTGTCTACCATCACCACCTGGGGCTGGCCCATCAGGAAGTCCAGGATCCAGTTGCGGAGGGAGGTGTTCAGTCCCAGGGTCCCGAGCTTGGTGATGAGTTTGGAGGGGAGTATGGTGTTGAACGCTGAGCTGTAGTCTATGAACAGCATTCTCACATAGTTATTTCCCCTCTTGTCCAGGTGGGAGAGGGCAGTGTGAAGTGCAATTGAGATTGTGGATCTGTTGAGGTGGTATGCGAATTGGAGTGGGTCCAGGGTGTCTGGGATGATGGTGTTGATGTGTGTCATGACCAGCCTTTCAAAGTACTTCATAATTACAGATGTAAGTGTTACAGGGTGATAGTCATTTAGGCAGGTTACCTTGGAGTTCTTGGGAACAGGGACAATGTGGGTCAGCTTGAAACATGTTGGGATTACAGACTGGGACAAGGAGAGATTGAAATTGTGTGTCCCAGAAGTAGCAATATAGTTTGGTCACTTATTTTGAGCAAATAAAAAATAAATATATATTTGAGGAAAGAAGCACCTTGCTTGCTGCATATAAAATAGGCTACAGCGTTCACAATGAACTGGCGGGGAAGTTTTAAGGGCAAGAGCTTCTCTGGTGCGATGTGATCACATTGGCTGGTGGTAAAAATGCAATAAATGGGAATCCTGTGTTCTCCCAGCGCCCAATGGTTATGTTTACAATGAAATGTATTACGTCAGAATGCCCAACATTTTCCTATCAGTCTAATTTGCATAAACATTGGATGATAGCTGTGAGGGTTATCGAATCAGGATCAAATCCTCTGATCTCCTCAAGTTCATAAATTATATTTGGCAAATGACAGGAGTGGCAAGGAGTGGCATCAAATGTAGCTATGAAGCCATATCTGTATGTAAAGCAAAGGCTAGTCTTCTAAGCATAACCAAGCTAGCACATACAGTAACGTTCTGAGAACCATATGTTTCTTAGAGCTTGGTGAGAGCGTGGTTGTCCTATGGTTCTTTTGCATACAACCTTCCCACAAAGTTCTGGGAATGGTGCAGAATACCCAGCTAGCGCATAACATTCTGAGAACCATATGTTTCTTAGGTAGGAATTTCAGTACTTCAGCATAACGTTTTCTGCAGGTTTCCTCATTGTTCTATTTAAAGTCATGTTCTCAGAACATTAAGAAAATGTTCCATTAAAACCACAAGAAAACATTACTAATGTTCAAAGAACGTTATTTAAAAACATAAACATTCTCTCTATCCTCTATCTTGTTAAGTGTGTTCAGGTGTGTTGGCCATGCCCACTCATTGGCCACACCTGATCTTAATGAGTTATTGTTTCCTTTGAAATGGGGTCTGTTTGAATAGACTAAAATGAACGTTTCGAACGGACCCGAGGACAACTAATCCCGTTCCGTATAGACCTGGTTGGATCCAGACCCGGTCCGATCCGAGTGAGGGAAGCAGCAGAAAAGTCATTTTTTAAGCTACTTTATTAGACAGAGCTGGGAGAGTGATGCAGCCAGCTCTAGCAGGCGGGGGTGGGGCAATACTGTGATTGAGTGACACAGGGAGCATGGAGGATTCGATATCTCCTAACTTAGCCTATTGCCGCTATGATGACTTATGTAGCCTATTGCCACTATAATGACTTATGATTGGCTAACAACAAGCTACACGCTCCACTCTCGTGAAAAGCACGAGCAGCCGCATAAATTATAACATTTCTCTCTCTCTCTATTGCAGCTGTCACGTTCGGATCTATACGGATCCTTCCGGAAAAGTCAGTTAAAATTACACATACCCAAGACCCGTGACAATAATATCAGATCCGACCCAGACGTGTGACATTATTTTGAATTCTGGATCCGGACCTGCTCAGGTCTCGGGTATTCGGGTGTAGGTGGATCCGTAAAGACCTCTAATGCTAGCTCCATCCTGGTGGCTCAGTGGACTAATTCCATAGATAGAGAACAGAAGGTAATAGGTTAGAATCTCACTGACGCTGTGCCACAATAAAAAAGAAATGTGTTTGCATGATTAATGCCTAAGCAAATGAATTTCCATGTGTCCTATCTGTGCTTCAAAACTGTAAACCCAAACTAAGCTAGCAGTGTTATTAAAAGTCTTATTGAAACATGTTCTCAGAACGTTATTTAATTACCTTCAAATGATTTATATTCTCAGAACATTAATAAAACCTCCCAGGAGAACATTCTCAGAACCTTCCTACAACCTAAAAATGTATGTTCCCAGAACAGGCAAGATATTCACTTCCGTTCTCAGAACGTAAAAAAATAACATTCAGTTTTACCAGTCAGAAAACGTATGGCTTCGTTCCCTGAACCAATGGGAAACCAAAAAAAGACATTCCCACAACTTCCAAGGAACCAAATGTGCTAGCTGGGAAGAGTGTTATCTTGACCAAACCTGGGTCGTTCAGCATGCCTGGTATCGAACCCTGATCATGCACGTGCTGAGCTAAAGCTGAGGCATTAGTTCTGGGAGCTAACATGAGTCATCAGCTCTGGTGAGCGTAGTAGTCACCGAAACATTCCCAGCGACACAATATGAGTATTGTTTCTCTGCTGTCTCTCTCTCTAGCCCATCCACAGCAGGTCCCAGACCATGGCAGCTCAGTACCTGCAGCAGATGTACGCGGCCCAGCAGCAACACATCATCCTGCAGACAGCTGCGCTGCAGCAGCAACAGCCACCCAGTAACAGGCAGTCCCCTTCCTTACCCCCTGCTGCCAACACCACGGTGCCCCAGTCAACTGGTACCTCTGTAAGTTGAGCACTCTGGTATCATGACTACCAAGACTACCAATGCCTAGTAAGATCACTCCAATTCTGTCTGTCCCCAGATCACCCTCCCAGCCTCTCCAGTAACAGGCCAGCTGATTGGTTGTTCTCAGAGTTCCAGCTCCACCACAGGCACGATTACCCAGCAGGCCATGCTCCTGGGGAATTGCTCTGCTTCCTGTAACCAAGCCCAGATGTACCTTCGCACCCAGATGGTACCTACCTTCTCTCTCTTATTGTAACAGCTTTGTAGCGCATGATAAACTATCTACTTGCCCAAAGATCATGGGAAGTAAAAATAAGTAAGCATGTCTCCTTTTCCACTGATGTTTTCCAACATTTTTTCTTTCCCGTTGGGTCTTTCCACTAACTTTTTCCTGCTCTATTCTCTTTTCTCTTTCTTCTTTGTCTTTTCCCTTGCTTCTGTCTTCTCTCTCTCTCTTCTGTCTCTGTAAGTTGATTCTGACCCCTGCGGTCACGGTGGCAGCAGTTCAGTCTGACCTCCCTTCTGTCTGCTGCAGCTCCTCTCAACTCTCCGCTTCACAGGTCAGCAACCGCCACCAGGGGCAAGGGTCAAAGGTGAAAGGTTAAGCATTGCTAGGTTTTACATGCCTGGCAAGCGAACTAGGCTGTCATCCGAGGACAGCACAGCAGGAGTTTACATCTCAATGCTGCTGACATGTTATTTATACAAAAAATGTAAGCCTATGCACTCACTGCACTGTAAGTCGCTTTGGATAAAGGTGTTTGCTAAGTGGAATGTATCTGACTTGACATGTCATTGCTCGACATGATTAAGTTGCAATTACCTGAATATACAGTGAGGGAAATAAGTATTTGATCCCCTGCTGATTTTGTACGTTTGCCCACTGACAAAGACATGATCAGTCTATAATTTTAATGGTAGGTTTATTTGAACAGTGAGAGACAGAATAACAACAAAAAAATCCAGAAAAACGCATGTCAAAAATGTTATAAATTTATTTGCATTTTAATGAGGGAAATAAGTATTTGACCTCTCTGCAAAACATGACTTAGTACTTGGTGGCAAAACCCTTGTTGGCAATCACATAGGTCAGACGTTTCTTGTAGTTGGCCACCAGGTTTGCACACATCTCAGGAGGGATTTTGTTCCACTCCTCTTTGCAGATCTTCTCCAAGTCATTAAGGTTTCGAGGCTGACGTTTGGCAACTCGAACCTTCAGCTCCCTCCACAGATTTTCTATGGGATTAAGGTCTGGAGACTGGCTAGGCCACTCCAGGAACTTAATGTGCTTCTTCTTGAGCCACTCCTTTGTTGCCTTGGCCGTGTGTTTTGGGTCATTGTCATGCTGGAATACCCATCCACGACCCATTTTCAATGCCCTGGCTGAGGGAAGGAGGTTCTCACCCAAGATTTGACGGTACATGGCCCCGTCCATCGTCCCTTTGATGCGGTGAAGTTGTCCTGTCCCCTTAGCAGAAAAACACCCCCAAAGCACATGTTCCCCCCCTTGACAGTGGGGATGGTGTTCTTGGGGTCATAGGCAGCATTCCTCCTCCTCCAAACACGGCGAGTTGAGTTGATGCCAAAGAGCTCGATTTTGGTCTCATCTGACCACAACACTTTCACCCAGTTATCCTCTGAATCATTCAGATGTTCATTGGCAAACTTCAGACGGCCCTGTATATGTGCTTTCTTGAGCAGGGGGACCTTGCTGGCGTTGCGGGCGCTGCAGAATTTCAGTCCCTCATGGTGTAGTGTGTTACCAATTGTTTTCTTGGTGACTATGGTCCCAGCTGATCATTGCAACTCCACGAGGTGAGATCTTGCATGGAGCCCCAGGCCAAGGGAGATTGACAGTTATTTTGTGTTTCTTCCATTTGCAAATAATCGCACCAACTGTTGTCACCTTCTCACCAAGCTGCTTGGCGATGGTCTTGTAGCCCATTCCAGGCTTGTGTAGGTCTACAATCTTGTCCCTGACATCCTTGGAGTGCTCTTTGGAATCTGATTGATTGATTGCTTCTGTGGACAGGTGTCTTTTATACAGGTAACAAGCTGAGATTAGGAGCACTCCCTTTAAGACTGTGCTCCTAATCTCAGCTCGTTACCTGTATAAAAGACACGTGGGAGCCAGAAATCTTTCTGATTGAGAGGGGGTCAAATACTTATTTCCCTCATTAAAATGCAAATCAATTTATAACATTTTTGACATGCGTTTTTCTGGATTTTTTTGTTGTTATTCTGTCTCTCACTGTTCAAATAAACCTACCATTAAAATTATAGCCTGATCATTTCTTTGTCAGTGGGCAAACGTACAAAATCAGCAGGGGATCAAATACTTTTTTCCCTCACTGTATATCAGGTACAGTAGTGCCCCAGTATGGAACCCTGTGGGACACCACATGATATCCACATGATATGTTTTTATATCAAGCACTTTCTCAGAGACATTTAGATTTACGTATATAATAATACTGCGTTTCCTCTCTCAGGTCCACAGCCTCGCTGTGCAGGCCCATCTCCCAGGGGCTTTGGCCACTGCCCAGAGTGTCCTGTTGAAGCCGTTCTCCACCCAGCCCCAGACGTTGGTCTCCTCTCTGCCCAAGATGTCCATCTGTCCCCTGAGGTCCAGTCAGCAGTATGACCCCTCCACAGAAACCTCTGGAGCTGAGCCTCGACTGGCTGACGTCACCAGGCTAACATCAGCAAACCAGCTTATCGCGCCAGGTAAGTCAGTCACCATGGCAGGGTCACAACTTTTGTGCTCTGTTGGTTTCGTATCAGTGTTCTTAAATAATACTGGTCCTGAGGCAGGCTTTTGTTCCAGCCCAGAGGAGGTTTACAACACATATTAATGTCTCAATCACTTTCGTCTGTTAACATGGTTTTATTTCAACTCCAGCGTCGTACATTTTGTTCCAACCTAGTGCAGGTTTAGACCACCTTCAGGTATAATCATGTGGTTCTATTTCAGCGTCGTACACTCCTGTCCAATCCCATGCTGTGGTTAGGCACCAGCTGCACTGTCCTCCGAGCCATAAGGGGGCACCCCACCAGCACCAACACCAGCTCATCATCCAGCAGACCATAGCAGGATCCCACCGGCAGCTGCACCCTATCGCCCTGCGCCTTGCACCCCAAGACACTTCCCCCTCTCTCTTCCCTCTTACCCTCCAGCCCCTGGCCACTCCCACCCACACCACCACCACTGTCCAATCCCAACCTGGGGATGGCCTTCCAGTCCTCTCCTCTTCCTGTGAGCCGCCCACCCCTCCCCCTACCCAGCAGACAGTGGTAGTATCCTCATCATCAGCCCCTCCACCTCTTCTGTGTCCCAGCCTGCTCCAGCCCCAGCCCCAGCTCCACCGCCAGCCCCAGCTCCAGCCCCCCACCCTGCGTCTTGGCCCCATCTCCCAGGCCTCTCTCCCCAGGCTGCTCCAGTCTCCACCGGCCTCCCTCCAGAGGTTGTCCCTGCGCACAGTCCAAGCCCTGGCAGTGCAGTCCACTGGGGTTCTGGTGTCGGAAGAGCTGCCTGTGGCAGAGGCGCTGGTCCAGATGCCTTTCCAGAACCATCACCCTCCACAAACTTTCCAGAATCTATCACAGACGTTCCAGAACCCTCCCCAGACGTTCCATAATCTCTCCCCGCCCCAGACTGTAGCTGTGGACCTGAAGGTGAAGCCAGCCACACTACGCACCCAGAACCCAGAGGAGAGGACAGAGGAGATGAGAGAGGAGATGAGAGAGGAGAGGACGACCCCTCCACCCACACTCTCTCCATCGGCTGGTTCAGACAGACTCTGTAAAGACATACAGCCCGCCCATACAGAGAACTGCACAGGTACACGGCACAATAGCATTTACTTTTTTTATTACTTAACTTTACCTTTTGCACTATTTACTATTTGTATACTAAATCGATAAAGCACACTGACATACATTAACTGCCTCTCTCTATCTATGCTCGGCTCCATCTACCAGGCAGGTTGGATTTCCCCTGCGTCCCTCCGTCCAGCCGCTCCGTTATCCACTCGTCCCAAGACTCCTCCTCTTACACCAGCTGCTCCCCCCCTCCCCTCCTGCCCTCGGCCGCGGTAAGAAGCCCCGGCCAATCCCCCTCAGCCTCAGCCACCCTACCAGGGAGCCCTGAGAGAGCTAGACCTCTCATCCTCACTCACATCATAGAGGGGTTCGTCGTCAGAGAGGCCCTGCAGCCGTTCCTCCCGGTACCGTTCCCGGTATCGTTCATCCCGGTATGTCCACTGGTGGGTGTGTTAACCAAGCTCCACAGTGTACACAGGCACTGGCCTGGTTCATTGTCACCAAAGGCACTGAGGCCAGTGCCAGCTCTAGCCTTTTGGGGGCCCTAAGCGAGATTTGGTTGCCCCCCCCCCCCCCCCCCCCCAACAAGCGGGCAAAATCGTATAGTGGTCCCCCTCTTGACGGCGGAGAGAGATTGATTTCCTGCAATTCTACACATTCTGGCATGGGGTGTAGAGAAAATGTTGCAGTTTTAAACCAAGTTTTCTGCAGTTCCACACATTTTGCCAAGACTTATGACATGTTAATTATATCTGAGTGAGAGTGACTAACATACACCTTGTGTATTCTACTATTCTAACTCTCAACAGCAAGTTGAGACCCCGACTGAGTTCCTTTTTTGGGGTCGGGGCCCCCTAGCGGCCGCTTATGTCGCTTATGCCTGGAGTCGGCCCTGCGACTGAGCCCAGCTAGCACATAACGTTCTGAGAACCATTTGTTTCTTAGAGCTTGGTGAGAGCGTGGTTGTCCCATGGTTATTTTGCATGTTCTTAAATTGTTCCGAGAACGTTAAGAACATTTTCCATAAAAACTTTAGTAACGTTCTAAGAATGTTATTTAAAAACATATACATTCCGTTCTTAGCATCAACAAAACTCTCTCTATCCTCTATCTTGTTAAGTGTGTTCAGATCAGATAGGTAGGACTGGTGGAGTTATGTCGCACATGCAGCTAACAAAAATATATGGAAATGTTTGCTCTAACCAAAATTACAACCAAATAATTGCAGCATTACCGCAAAAATGGAAGAAGAAAATGGAAGGGGGAAAAAGTAAGGAACTGAAGATCTCGTACAACGCTGTGTACTACTCCCTTCACAGAACAGCGCAAACTGGCTCTAACCAGAATAGAAAGAGGAATGGGAGGCCCCGGTGCACAACTGAGCAGGAGGACAAATACATTAGTGTCTAGTTTGAGAAACAGGTGCCTCACAGGTCCTCAACTAGCAGCTTCATTAAATAGTACCTTCAAAACACCAGTCTCAACGTCAACAGTGAAGAGGCGACTCAGGGATGCTGACCTTCTAGGCAGAGTTGCAAAGAAAAAGCCATATCTCAGACTGGCCAATAAAAATAAAAGATTAAGATGGGCAGTCTGAGATATGGCTTTTTCTTTGCAACTCTGCCTAGAAGGTCAGCATCCAAAATGTCCACTTCCATTCTCAGAACGTTTAAAAAAACGTTCAGTTTTACCGGTCAAGAAATGCATCTCCCGAGTGTCGCAGTGGTCTAAGGCACTGCATCGCAGTGCTAGCTGTGCCATTAGAGATCCTGGTTCGAATCCAGGCTCTGTCGTAGCCGGCCGCGACCGGGAGACCCATGGGGCGGCGCACAATTGGCACAGCGTCGTCCAGGGTAGGGGAGGGAATGGCCGGCAGGGATGTAGCTCAGTTGGTAGAGCATGGCGTTTGCAACGCCAGGGTTGTGGGTTCGATTCCCACGGGGGGGGGCAGTATGAAAAAAAATATATATATATATAAAAAAAGAATAAAAAAAAAGAAAAAAAAAAAAGAATGTATGCACTCACTAACTGTAAGTCGCTCTGGATAAGAGCGTCTGCTAAATGACTAAAATGTAAAAATGTAATGTAAAATGTATTGCTTCGTTCCCAGAACCAATGGGAAACCAAAAACATACATTCCCACATCTTCCAAGAAACCAAATAAGCTAGCTAGTAGCTTAGTCCCAGTCACACCTCATGCGTCACTCTCCCTCACTGTGAGAGCACTGCATCAAGAACCCCCAACCTCCCAGATATAAAATGTCCGCTTGAACAAGCAGTCTCCCACTGGTAGTGGATTAGTAAGCATTATGTTCAGCCCTCTATAGTGGTATATGTTGTGTATGTGATCCAGTGGTGTGTTCCTGCTTCAGATGGGCCGTTCCTCTTTGGGGGCGGACCAGCAGGCCACGCTTCCTGAAGCCCGGGAGGTGAGAACCAATGGGGATCCAACGCCTGAGATGAGATCCAATAAGGATTCGGCTCCTGAAATGAGAACCAATGGGGATCGAGTGTCTGAGATGAGAACCAATGGGGGTCTAGGGCCAGAGGAGAGCCTGATGGATGCTGAGCAGCCAGACAATGACTCAGACATGGATGATACCCCTACCCAGGACGGTCAGTACCGGTGTGTGTGTGTGTGTGTCTGTGTCCGTCCATCTGTCTGTGTGTCTGTCTAACAGCTTATCATCTCCTGCTGTACTATAGAGCCTACTGCTGAGAGCCTGGTAGATGTGCTGCAGTGTGAGTTCTGTGGGAAGAGAGGCTACGTTCACACCTTCCTCCGATCCAAACGATTCTGCTCCATGACCTGTGTCAGGAGGTGAGTCCTGTTTCCCCTATAGGGTTGCAGAATTCCTGGGTTTTCCAGATATCCCAGTTGGAAGATTCCTGTAGTTCCTGGTTATTCACTCCTGATTCCAGGAATCTGCCTATCTGTTTTCTTGAAAAATCTGAATTTTGGTAACGTTACCAGAATTTTGCAACATTATTCCCGACCCAGATTAAGCCCCTGAAGCCGAGATGTGGACTTGTATTTAAAAACCATATGTAACTGTTCTCTTCCAGGATCAAGGGGAATCTAGACACCCCAACTAGAATTTTTGGGATGTTATGGTGTTCTGTGGAATATCTCCCCTGGATGGCTAAACTCCAGAAACCTTATCTACAGATCTCATCTCTCTCTCTCTCTCTCTCTCTCTCTCTGTCCCCTCCCCCCTCCTGTCAGGTTCAATGTGAGCTGTACGAAGCGTCTGAGCGTGTTGAAGGTGGACAAGGCCAGTCGTTGGGGCCACAGGCCGATGGGCCGAAGAGGACGACCCCCAGGGAGGGTCAACGGGGGCACCAGAGAACACTTCCTCCTCAGACAGGTCAGATGTCATAGCCTGGTCCCAGATTTAGCATATCTAGCCAGCTATCCTATGGTCATTGTCAACGCCAGTCATGACAAGACAGTTTGCAAAACAACACAAACAAGGCAACAGTAAAAATGTCATCCCCCACGAATGATGCAGCCTTGGGCCAATTGAGATATCGCGTGTAACTAAGACATTTCTGTTAATAACTATAGCTCCCGTCTTGGGGCAATCAGTGTAATTTTGTAAATGCCGGATCTCTATGGCAAGATGCATAATTCACCCAAGTTTAGTCAAAATCGGGCCAGTGCTGTCTGAGATATCGCGTGTGACTAACGCACAAATGAATGGCCGCACAGAGACAGATCTACAGTCCCCTCCCCAATTTCATCCTGGGGGACAACAAATCTGAAACCAGGCTAGGTCAATCGGACAGACAGAATGGATAAACAACTTTGCAATTCTCTGGTCTACTTACAGTATGAAACCCCAAACTGTTATCACTCAGAGTGTTACATAGGTAAACGTCTGATCATGGTCATGTTGGGTTTTCCACTGCAGGTGCAGGGGCCCTACGGCTCTGAGGAGACACAGAGAACATTGAGGGGAGAAGGGGAAGAGGAAGATGAGCCCCCTGTCCCCATGATCACCAGGCTGCGCCGGCAGGAAGAGAGGGAGAGAGAGAGGGAGCAGGGAAGACAGAGAAAAGATACGTTCATATCCTCTGGTGAACAGACCGCAGGAGGAAGACAAGAATGTAGTGACAATCCAACACAGTGGAGCGTGGAACAAGTCTGCTCCTACATCAACTCTCTACCAGGTATCATGAATATGTCATACCAGGGGGGACTTAAAGCTGCTGTAGCCAATACTGTAATGGATGTACATATCATATCTTATACAATATCACTGGGGCCAGGAGTTTTTCTTGCTCAGGTCACATCTCCTGGCCCTAAACTCCTCTCTTTCCACCTTCCTCTTCCTCTCACCCCAATTTCTTCTTTCTTCCCCCTCTCTCTCCACCCTCTTCCTCCTCTCTCTCCACCCTCTTCCTCCTCCTCCTCTAGGTGGGCGGGACATATCAGAGGAGTTCCGTTCCCACGAGATTGACGGCCAGGCCCTCCTATTGCTGACAGAGGATCACCTGATGACAGCCATGAACATCAAACTAGGACCCGCCCTCAAACTCTGTGCCCACATCAACTCTCTGAAGGAACCATGAACACAGGACAGGGCCCATCTGGTCAAAGGTAGTGCACTATATAGGAGATACGGTGCCATTTGGGATGCGAACGAGAGGAGCACCCTTATCAGACTTAGAGGATATGGGATTCTAGGAAGAAATAACACACACACACACACATACACTTGCTCTCTGCCTTTTAACTCTGTGAGAAGCAGCGAGTTGTAAACTGTTCATCTGTGTGCCAGTCATCATTCAACACATTAACAACCGTGTATCACTGTAGTGATTGTAGCAATAAGGCTCAAGGTGGCCTTCTTTCTGTGTGTTACATTGTAAGTACTGTACATGCTGTTTAAACATACAAAGGTTTAAAGAATTGTATTTAAATGTTTTCAAAATGTTACTCTCTGAAGACTGTTTTCCAAGCCTGAGAGGAGTTGGGATTTAACGGCTCAAGGTGTGTCCCCCAAATGCCACCCTATTCCTTTTATAGTGCACCACTTTTGACCAGGACCCATAAGGCTCTGGTCAAAAGGAGTGGACTATATAGGGAATAGGGTGCCATTTGGGATGTATCCAGATTGACTTAAATTGCATATGAGGAAATCCACTTCCAACCCCTGTAGCATAGCAACTGCATAGCAACCAGGAATTGCCTTGTGAATTCCAAGGTTGATGAGACATTAGATCAAGTAACATGTTTATTATTGCTATAATAAATACACTGAACAAAAATATAAACGCAACATGTAAAGTGTTGGTCTAATGTTTCATGAGCTGAAATAAAAGATCCCCGAAATGTTCCATTCGCACAAGCTTATTTCTCTCAAATTCTGTGCACAAATTTGTTTACATCCCTGTTAGTGAGCATTTCTCCTTTGCCAAGATAATCCATCCACCTGACAGGTGTGGCATATCAAGAAGCTAATTAAACAGCATGATCATTACACAGGTGCACCTTGTGCTGGGGACAATAAAAGGCCACTCTAAAATGTGCAGTTTTGTCACACAACACAATGCCACAGATGTCTCAAGTTTTTAGGAAGTGTGCAATTGGCATGTTGACTGTAGGAATGTCCACCAGAGCTGTTGCCAGATATTTTTATGTTAATTTCTCTACCATAAGCTGCCTCCAACGTCATTTTAGAGAATTTGTCAGTACATCCAACAACTGTAGACCACGTTGTGGTAAACCGTGGGTTGTTGGGTTTGAGCGCAGAGAGATGGACACAGAGACAGGGAGGTTCTAGTCAGAAAACACACCTTTACTTGGCAACATAAAATAAACGTAACAACAAAATAACTTAGGGCCGCCTCCTCGTATTCGGTTCCGTGCCCCCGGAGCTTCGTTCCCGTCTGTTCTCCCTGCCTCTCTTTTTCTCTTCCACTGTGTTCCATTTATGTGGCCTGCACGGCTGGTTGGCACTCTCCCCTAATTGGTGCCATCAGCGTCGTGGTGCCCAGCCCGGATACTCCCAGCAGAGGGAGCCAACGTCGCAGCTCGTATCTCCCCTCTATCACCAACCCCCAGGGCAGACCTTCCAGGATACCACAACGTGTATGGCGTCGTGGGACAACATTCCACAGGCCGCAATCATCAGCCTGATCAACTCTATGTGAAGGAGATGTCATGAGGCAAATGGTGGTCACACCAGATACTGACTGGTTTTCTGATCCACACCCCTACCTATTTCTTAAGGTATCTCTGAACAACAGATGCATATTTACATTTACATTTGAGTCATTTAGCAGTCTCTTATCCAGAGCGACTTACAGTTAGTGAGTGCATACATTTTTCATACTGGCTCCCCGTGGGAAACGAACCCACAACCCATATCTGTATTTCCAGTCATGTGAAATCCATAGATTAGGGCCTAATGAATTTATTTCAATTGACTGATTTCCTTATATGAACTGTAACTCAAATCAAATCTTTGAAATTGTTGCATGTTGCATTTATATTTTTGTTCAGTATATAATACAAATAAAATCCTTTATCAGACTTGCATGTATTCATTATTGATCTATCATAGGGGAATAGTCTCGTTCCTGTACTGTCATTGCAAGTCATGGGATGCGTCCCAAATGGCACCCTATTCCCTATATAGTGCACTACTTGGGCCCTGGTCAAAATAAGTGCACTAAAGGGAATAGGGTGTCATTTGGGATTCACTATAGATGAGTTGACATGATTCACATTCAGAATGTTGTATAGCTTGATTTTCCGAAAATTGGTACATTAACTTACTGACAAGCTAAACTTACATGACCATAGAATAAGGCTGGAACATTCAAATATGACTATTTATTTAAAAAAGAGCAGACTTTTCCATATAAAAATAGAGCGCTTTCTTTTATGTCCTGAATTTACAGTCGACCAGCCTAAACGGGCAACCATGTTGGATCAAATACTGTTGCAGTTGGTCTAAAATGAAGTCCCAGGTTCAACCAGCGGCGCACGTCTGTCTGAGTGATACGAGGTCCCACCCTCCCAGGAGTTTCGTGTTGAAGCTGTAAATCTTGATCAGTCGATCACAGATGATTTCACAATGATTCGATTCACTTGGTAATTCAATGTACTTTTGTTCAGTCACACCACTGCTAGCATGTACAACAGCAGTTGATTGTCCTCAGAGCCACATTTAGAGAGAGTTATATATGGCTCTTATTCTCTGCGATAGACCAGTGTCCTGGCCAGAGGGTGTACTTGTACTTCAAGCTGCTTCACGGTACAGAAAAAGGTGATAGCCTCCTACGTTACTAGCGGTTCTTGCTTGGACAAGGCTACTTACTTACGTATTGTCCTATAATGCTTAGAAGGATCGTTTGATTAGGACACCAGCATTCTGAGGCTGCATCCCAAATGGCACTGTATTCACACTACTTTTGACCAGTGCCCTATGGCACTCTTAGTCTGAGGGTTGGAAGCCAAGTAGGCCGTGTTACGTTCAGTGTGCAGGACGCTGACGGATCGATGCTTTCATCTTCATCTGTTGCTCGATCATCGCATCAAACTCCTCTCTTTCCCTGAGGAGAGAAGCAAGGAGAGGAAAACAGATTTAGAACCAGAAATAAGTGTAAACGGAAACCTGATTGCGTTAGCTCCCCAAGCTAATGCCTAGGCTTTAACTCATCACTTACCTTTTACTCAGACAGGGCCCTTTCAAGTATTTGTCCTCTGCCTTCACCAGTGACAACTCGTCCACTCCAGCTATCGCATAGATAATAGCCTACACAAAAAGATCAAATCAAATCCAATTGTATTGGCCACACGCGCCGAATACAACAGGTGCAGACATTACAGTGAAATGCTTACTTACAGCCCTTAACCAACAATGCATTTATTTTTAATAAAAAAAAGTAGAATAAAACAAAAAAGTGTTGAGAAAAAAAGAGCAGAAGTAAAATAAAATAACAGTAGGGAGGCTATATATACGGGGGGTACCGGTGCAGAGTCAATGTGCGGGGGCACCGGCTAGTTGAGGTAGTTGAAGTAATATGTACATGTGGGTAGAGTTAAAGTGATTATGCATAAATAATTTACAGAGTAGCAGCAGCGTAAAATGATGGGGTGGGGGGGCAGTGCAAATAGTCCGGGTAGCCATGTTTAGCTGTTCAGGAGTCTTATGGCTTGGGCGTAGAAGCCGTTGAGAAGCCTTTTGGACCTCACCCTTCAGAATAATAACTAATTGAAGACTAATTTATGAGGAATGTTGTGTTTTTTAGACAACTGCACACTTCAAGGATTATGGCATTCAAGGAGTTGGTCTGATGGTCTGATGTGATGTCATCGGCCTCCCTCAACGCTTGAGGAACAATAGAGAACAAAAGAGGAAAGGCCCATCCCCCCTACTTGTGCCAAGTCATGTCATACCTGGACCACCTATTGACATGTGCCTTTTGTTAAGGAAATCAGGTGTTAATTGAGGTGAAAAGGAGTCTGGAGTAGGACTTTTAACGTCACTTCAACAATAAAGAATGGTAATAAAAACAGACAGCAAAAATACACATTTGTGTTTCGATGGGACAATTAAGTTGTATTCTATTCTCTTGCATTCGGACCTCTGGTAAGAGCACGTCCAGTACCAAGCGGATGCGGTCTACATCGGCCAGACAGGGTGCGGTGAGGGGGGCGGTCTCGTACACCCCTCTCAGGTACTGGTACACCTGGTCCAGCTGCTCCTCGTCCTCCAGGTAGGTGTCCACTACTGACCGACTGGCCGCCAGGAACCAACGCAGCCACTTAGACTGCTGCTGACCGCTGATCACACCCTGGGGTTAGAGAGAGGGGTTATTTACATGTACATTTTAGTCATTTAGCTCTTATCCAGAACGACTTACAGTTAGTGAGTGCATACATTTTTTTCATACTCTCCCCCCGTGGGAATCGAACCCACAACCCTGGCATTGCAAGCGCCATGCTCTACCAACTGAGCTACTCCAGTTTGGAGACCATATTACATACAGAGAAAGATGGAAGGAAAGAGAGAGAATGGACAGAGAGAGGGGGATGGAGAGAGGGATGGAGAGAGGGAGAGAAGATACTGACAGACGAAGGAGAGGGATGGACAGATGGAGGGAGAGAACAACTGCTATACTGAGTGCCTGGGAGAGTGAGAGAGGCATCAGCATGGTTACTCACCAGAAGGTGTGTCTCCACCCGGCGCTGCCTGACGATGAAGTCTACCAGTTTCTCGTTGGCACGGTTACGTGCAGCCTTCGAACGGTCAGGCAGCAGCTTCCTCCTCCTCTCCTCCTCCTGCCGTTTGCTGCCCTCTTGATCTTCCCCTTCCGGATCAGAGGTTACGTGCTGCTCCTCCAGAATTAGCTTACTGGGGAAGGTCAGGTCTGAGGTGCCCTGGGGGTAGCGCCTTCTCACTGGGCAGCCTGGGGGAGGTGGGGGAGGGATCAGAGAGGTAATGTATTGATCTATCTAACCTTTATTTAGTCAGGTCAGTCACGGAGAATACATGATGTTGTACTAACGACCTGTTTAAACTGAGGACAGACAGCAGCTGAGATGTCTTGAGTGAATGGACGTGAACTTACTTATGTCATCAGAAAAGTATTCAATGAAGGAACCGGTGAAGCCGCATCCTGCAAAGACAATACAAACATCAACGACAGTAATGGGCAATATAACACTGAGTTTAATCTGGGTCAAGGTGCTCATTCTAAGAGAAGTGGAGAATAGTTTACCGATACGGATTCTATAGTCGGCTATCAACGCGAGACACCATTGGATGGCAGCATCATACTTCTCCCTGGCTTTACACTACAGACAATAGGAAACATCAACACAACAGTCACCAGAAATATTTTAAAAATATACACTGAACAAAAATATAAGACGCAACATGCAACAATTTAAAAGATTTTACTGAGTTGCATACAAGGAAATCTGTCAATTGAAATAAATGCATTAGGCCCTAATCTATGGATTTCACATGACTGGGAAAACCAGTCAGTATCTGGTGTGACCACCATTTGCCTCATGCAACGCGACACATCTCGTTTGTATAGAGTTGATCGGGCTGTTGATTGTGGCCTGTGGAATGTTGTCCCACTCCTCGTCAATGGCTGTGCAAAGTTGCTGGATATTGTCGGGAACTGGAACACACTGTCTTACACGTCGATCCAGAGCATCCCAAACTTGCTCAATGGGTGACATGTCTGGTGAGTATGCAGGCCATGGAAGAACTGGGACTTTTTCAGCTTCCAGGAATTGTGTACAGATCCTTGAAACATGGGGCTGTGTATTATCATGCTGAAACATAAGGTGATGACGGCGGATGAATGGCACAACAATGGGCCTCAGGATCTCATCACGGTATCTCTGTGCATTCAAATTGCCATCGATAAAATGCAATTGTGTTCGTTCTACGTAGCGCGAGCGGGCGGATTTTGGACAGAGCGCAGAGCGGCATTTTTAAAATGACGGAGCGTCGCCCTATGTCCCGCTCCAATTTCGCTCCGTTCACACCACGAGTCCGAAGCATGCTCAAGCCTGACCCAGAATCCATCTGTGTCTTGCACAGTCATCAACAGTAGACTATTTTCAGTCAAAACTCGGCACAATAATGGAGTTCACCAAGTACTTCAAAAAGGAAAATGAGAAGTCATACAGGTGTACTATTAATATAAAACTAACTAACAATGATAATGTGGTACAAGAAAAAGAATGTGGTGACATCCTTTCAGTCAGTAAAGTTTCATTTTGGAATCTAAAAATACACATCTCTCGAAAACACGAAAGTGTGCTACGTGAACACGCTGGGAAGGAAGCAAAAGGTTAGCAAGTTGAATACGGTAACTTGTTACAAAAGTGTAAAGTAAATATAGCCTAATATTCAAACAAATTTGTTTTGTCATTTAAAGTAGGCCTAATATATGGTTTGTTTAATTTAATTTGTGTCGTCCGTGAATTTGTATTTTATAGAGCAAGAGGAGCAGCAGCAGCAACAAGAGAAAAGGGTTGAGGAATTCAAAAGTTTCTTCACTGCACGCAAAGGCCCAACCATAACAAGGGAGAGAAAAAGAGAGCTGGATGTAGCATTTTTTAAAATGATTTACATGGACTATGAACCACTGAGTAAAGGAGAACGCGAAGGGATGCAACACTTTGCCAGCGCAGCTCAACCGGGCTACACCCCCCCATGCTACAACACCGTACGGGACACGCTCATGCCACATGCCCTGGAAGAGATGGAAGCCAAACTGCAAGACCTACTGCAAAATGGTGATGGGCTCGTTCTGTCTGCGGACATTTGGACCAGTAGAAGAGGGCACAGCTTCCTTGGCATCGTGGCCAGTTTCATTGATGGGACGATCCGGGGGCACACGGTTTTGTTGGGCTGTGAGCACATACAGGGGCACCATACCGCAGATCGTATTTACCAAAAGTATGAAAGTGTACTGAAATATTGGAACGTGCAACGACGTGCGATTCGGGTCGTCACTGACAGTGCCAGCAACATGATCAAGGCGTTTAACCTCCTCCCTGGCACTGAAGAGGAGGCGGAGGATGAAGTGACCGCGGATGCCAGCAGCAGCGTAGAACATGAAGAGGAGGATGAGGGACCACCTGCACCCTCGCAAGTTCATGTGGAAGTGATTACCACTAATGTAGAAACTATGATAAATCAGTACTTTACTGTGTCAAATTTACATCTGAGATGCCCCATTCACATGCTTCAGCTGGCGATCAAAGACGCCGTTAACAAGCACAAAAGTCGGGCACCTGGTGAAAAGTGTACGCAAGAGCACCCTGAACACAGAGGAAACCGACCAATTAGGTGTCCGCCCCACAAATGCCTGCACCACTCAATGGAGCAGCCAGCTGCGGATGATTCAGTCGTTCATCCGGTTGTTCCAAAAATACCCGTTATGGCAAAACAAACTCAAGTCTAATGTTGCTAACATCACCCTGAATCAAGTACGGCAGCTGACGCACCTTGTCAGTGTGCTGACACCACTGGCAGACCTCACCGACAAAATTCAGAAGGAGCTGGGGAACCTGGGGATGATCCTCCCTGCTGTCACAGAAATCAAATCCCTGCTCTCCGATGACACTCACGCTGCACTTCCAATGGGTATCGCTGCTTTTGCAGAAACATTGGCAAACAACGTGTCAATTCGCTATGGAATATACTGATAAACATCTCATTTTAGCATCAGTGTAAGATCCCCGTTTCAAGACAGAATGGATAATCCGACATGAGTCTGTATGCAACAAACTCGGGGAGATCCGCGACCTCCTCATAAAAGAAGCTGAGGAAATTAACACTCCCAGCGGGACACCCGAGACCGACACCCCACCTGCCGCTGACCTGAATCCCGAGCCTGAACCAAAAAGAGCTCACCTGTTCGGGTCATACTTCAGCGAGCAACTACGCATAACCGGAGACGCCAAAGGTGAAGTCGAAAATTTCCTCTCATCCCCGAGACAGAACCCGGACGCAGATGTTATTCGATTTTGGAAAGAAAACGCCACGTCGTTTCCCCGCCTGGCTAAAGTAGCTCGCATTGTGTTCAGCATCCCAAGCGGGTCTGCGAGCGCAGAGAGGGTTTTCTCCGCTGCTGGCCTGCTGTCAAGAAACCACCGCGTGAGTCTGAAGCCTCAGACATTGGCCAGACTTGTGTTCTTGAAGGTGAACTCAAAAGAACTGTAGATAAGGAAGCAATTCATTAAAAAAAATATATAATAAAGTTTGACAATGGATATAAGCCAATTTAAATTTTTATCCACATGCACGCTGCGCAAAAGTTCAGTTATCAGAATTTTGGCCTAATAGTTAATTTACTTTTAAAACTTTGATGTATAGCCTGTATATTTTTATTTATATAATTAGGCCCATTGATTCGTTTAATTTTACAGGACTTTTTGTGTATATTCCTTCTTACATAGGCTAGGCCTAATTTGTAATAAAACATTTATATTTGGAAAATGTTGTCGTTGCTCTTTAGTTCTTTGGGAGGTAAGGCTGTGGTTTAAGCTAAAAGTGAAATACATGCAGATTTCTTTCCTTTTTTGGAGCGAGCGGGGGGGCGATTTGAGTGGAGCGCGATGCAAACTGCGTTGAGCGCTGAGCAATAATGAGCGGACTGGCCTGATGTGGCTTTGAGCGGGGGGAGCGGAGGGGTGAACAGCTCCGTGAGCGAGGAGCTGAGATTCTCACTGCTCCACTCCGCTCATATGCTCTGTCACCCACACGACGCCATTGACGCTGTCTGCCATCTGCCCGGTACAGTTGAAACCGTGATTCATCCGTGAAGAGCACACTTCTCCAGCTTGCCGGTGGCCATCGAAGGTGAGCATTTGCCCAGTGAAGTCGGTTACGACGCCGAACTGAGGTCAGGTCAAGACCCTGGTGAGGACGATGAGCACGCAGATGAGCTTCCTTGAGACGGTCTCTGACAGCTTGTGCCGAAATTCTTCGGTTGTGCAAACTCATAGTTTCATCAGCTGTCCGGGTGGCTGGTCTCAGACGATCCCGCAGGTGAAGAAGCCGGATGTGGAGGTCCTGGGCTGGCGTGGTTACACATGGTCTGCGGTTGTGAGGTCGGTTGGATGTACTACCAAATTCTCTAAAACAACTGTGAGAACAAAAATCACTAGATGACGTTATAATACTATTATTGCATCAAATGGTTGTTTTCTGCAATAGAAAAGGGTTCTTAGAAACTCTCATGTGTCTGTGTTAACACTGAAAGTAGATTTACGATGCCTTTGGTGATAAACCTAACAAGCCACATTCCATTCATGTGAGGAAGATGGCTCCGGTATGACTGAGCATTCATTCCATAGAATGAGTTGGCGTTTGTGTAATGAGGAACCAGGTAGAGATGGCTTGGGTATGGATAATGATGAGAGGAAGCTATCTGGATGGGAGATACTCATTTCTCATATATCAATTCTCACCGTGTTACCCATTCCATACATCTGTTATTTGTCATGTAGACTAAGAGGGTGTATCTTTCCTATAAAAGATCTTTGTATTCTTTGTGTCGGGGCTCTCAGCCAACAGTCAAGACTGTTGGGCCAACCAGCCTCGCTTATTACCTTATTAATACGTTTTGAATAAAGTAATATCCTGATTGGTGATTGACCCTGTCTCTCCTCATTATTGCTAAGAATTTCCACTACACAACGTCAAAGGTGGCTTATGGTAGAGAAATGAACATTACATTCTCTGACAACAGCTCTGGTGGACATTCCTGCAGTCAGCATGCCAATTGCATGCTTCCTCAAAACTTGAGGCGTTGTGTTGTGTGACAAAACTGCACATTTTAGAGTGGCCTTTTGTTGTCCCCTGAACAAGGTGCACCTGTGTAATGATCATGCTGTTTAATCAGCTTCTTGATATGCCACATCTGTCAGGTGGATGGATTATCTTGGCAAAGGATAAACACTCACTAAGAGGGATGTAAACAAATTTGTCCACAAAATTAGAGAGAAATAAGCTTTTTGTGCGTATTGAACATTTCTGGGATCTTTTATTTCAGCTCATGAAACCAACACTTTACACCTTGCGTTTATATATTTGTTCAGTGTATATAAAAAATCAGCTGTATCTATATTATATATTTGTTCTGTGGAGTCAGTATTCTTAAGAAACTGTTTTCCTCAGTTATCCTTACCTCTAGTTGAGCAGCCTCTTCACAGTCAAAAGGCTTCAATGTTTTTAGGGCCACAGAAAAGCTTTAAAAGAAACACAAAAAGACGACAGTTTATATTGGAGCGCAGAAGGTAATCGGGCAATCAGGGAATGGACACCAGTTACAGCTCAAAGGAAATGACTGTGGGAAGAGCTGAACAGAGTTTTGGTTCCTACAGAGTTTTGGTTCCTACCCTTTTCGTATCCTCTTCTTGTCAAACAGCAGGTCGTCAATAAACACAATGCTGGCTTTTTTCAGCTTATGGTTCACACTCTTCACCTATGGAGTCAAACAGTTTCTAGTTCAGTTACTACTGATGACTATTCCAAATTAATTTAGTTGGAGCACAGCGATCAATACTCACCATTGCCGGCCAGAAAGGATAGCTTCTAAATTTGCACCAAACACATATTCCTTCTGTTATGGACAGCGGCTCTGAAAGATAAATAACTACGGGTTATTTTAGTTTTAGTATTAATTAACAACTCAACATAAGCTATAGTACACATGCAGGAAGGCATCATATCAGCAAGGGAGTTTACCAACACACGCGCACACTCTCGCTCTCTCTCTTACACCTTGACCAAACCGGCCCCCACGTGCATGTTGATATTGGCTATCCCCACCAGACGTGTTCATGACACGCATGTTAAAATACCAAAACCAACTGTGAACCAACTATATTAAGTTGGGGACAGGTCGAAACACACATAAAACATTGATGGACATTTAGCTAGCTTGCTGTTGCTAGCTAATTTGTCCTGGGAGATCAACATCGGGTTGTCATTTTACCTGAAATGCATATGGTCCTTTTTTTTTTGCTGGATCTGTGTTCTCTACTCCGACAATTAATCCACAGATAAAACGGGAAACCTAGTTAGTTCTTTGATTAATCTCTCCTCGTTCATCTTTCAATCTCCCATGCTGGTTAGTAGGATTGTGAAAACCAATGAGTAGATGGGCGAGGAGGGACTTGCAGTGCTTCAAGCATCTCAAATAGAACCAAGCTCTATTTAAGTGCCTGGCTATGCACACGCCCGTTGAAGCGTGCGAGCAGTTTGGATTAAATGATTGAATAACATGTAGGGCCGGGACGATACCTGTATCACAATATTTTTCCAATGGCAAAAATGAAAACACGAAGCAGTCAAACTCTTTGGTCCTTTAAAAACCTGCTGTATGTCAAATCTTCTGTGCTATAGCTTGGAAAACAAATAAACGTTACTCTGGATGACAAACATAATGATATTTGTTTCCAACATTAGGGCTGTTTTCCTACAGAAATTAAATCTGCTTTGTGTTTTGTTTCCTTGCCCCGATACTAACAAGTACAGCAATACTGGTATGTTCCACCCTAATAACATGCATGTGTACATTTATTTAGCAATGCTCACGCACACAACGTAGCCAGTCTAGTCAGCATGTTACTCACTTGTGTTATTTAAGAAACTGGGTAGGTCTTCCTCATCCTCTTGCTCTTCCTCCTCTTCCTCTTCAAGAGTCAGTGATGTTACATGGTCTTCCTGTACGCTTAGCTCGATGGAGAGGTCTGAGGACAGGGCGGCATCTCCTGTGTCTTTGTCTGGTGAGTCTGACTCCTGCAGCTCAAACCTGGGTCTGGAGCATTGGAGTGGCTCAGCGCTGGTAGTGCCGTCGCTCTGCAGGCCAGCTCCCTCTGCTGTCTGGCCCTTCCTGCTTCTACGCCTGCGTTTGGCTGGGGGGCCCTCCTCAGAACTGAAGGTCTGGGACCCTCCCTCTGCTGCAGCCTTCACCTTCGTCTTACCACCCTGAGTCTTCACTCCCTTCACAGTAGCCGGGTTCTTCCTTGGCCTACCGCGAGGTTTACTGCCGGGTAAAGCTAAGTGTGTCTGGGAGAGATTACATACATTTTTGTGAACAATTTTGTATTGAACATATAAATACTGGGATTTAATTGAAACAGATTGAAACGCAATAGGCAAGAGAGACGGTTATTGAATGGTGATTACTTTTAAACACTGACCACAATCTAGAGCACTATTCAGTGTATGACCATTCACCCGACAACGTATTATATGTTTCTAATCAGTGATGAAGATGATGATGATCCAGTACCTTCTCCAGAGGGCTTAGTTCCAACAGATTCCAGGGAGTGATGGGTGAGGCGTTCTGGGGGCCCTCCATCTCGGAGCCCAGTCCCACGTGAGACAGGGAGACAGAGAAGGGGTTGTCTGTTCCTGTCGAGGATCTGGGGTGAGGGCCTGGCGTGGAGCTAAGACAGAGCTTCTGCTGGACCCGCTGAGGTCTGCCTCTGACTCTCTTAGGTGTGTTTGGTGAGAAGGGGTTGCCAGGAGGGCTGAGAGTAGGAGAGAGGCTACTCTGCAGGCTGGAGGAGAGGTCTGCAGACAGTACAGGGAGTGAGGAGGGGACATCTGAGTCTACCTTGTGGGTCTGTGATTTTTTGGTACATTTTCTCTTTGGGACCCAAGGAGGACTGAGTGTGGGAGAGGAAAGGTTGGTGGAGAGGTCTGCAGATAGCACAGGGAGTGAAGGGACCCCTGAGTCTACCTTATAGATATTTGATTTCTTAGTATATTTCCGATTTTTTATAGTTTCCTCCTGTGACTGTTCCGTGTCTCGTAAAACTACCTTATGCTTCTGTGATTTTTTTGTTGTATTTTCCCCATTTCTCACAGTCTCATGTGAGTGCTCCTTATGGCTCTGTGATTTTTTTGTATAGTTCCTCTTTCTCACTGTCTCCTGTGATTGGTCAATCCCGAGTGACCGTTCTACCGTATGGCTTTGTGATGTTTTAGATGCCGCCTGGTCTACTCTATTCGTCTGTGATTTCATAGATGTGATTTTTCCAGTCTCCTCCTGTGACTGGTCAGTCTCCTGGGTCTGTGATTTTTTTGTATATTTCCCCTTTTGCACAGTCTCTTGTGAGTGGTCTACCTTGTGGGTTGAAGATATTTTAGACATATTTTTCCTTTTTGTTACAGACTCTTGTGACTGGTCTACCTTATGGGTTGGTGATTTTATAGATGTATTTTTCCCATTTCTCACAGTCTCACTCTCCTGTGACTGGTCAGTGTCCCTTGGCTGGTCTACCTTATGGCTCTGTGATTTTTTTGTATATTTCCTCTTTCGCCCAGTCTTTTGTGTTAGGCAATTCCCCTGTTCTACCTTAATGGTCGGTAAGGGTTTAGATGTATTTTCCCCATTTCTCACAGTCTCACTCTCCTGTGGCTGGTCGACCTTATGAATTTGTGATTTTTTTGCCGCCTTTCTCCCATCTCTCAGATTCTGTGGTGACTGGCACAGAGTCCTTTGCTCTTTGGCACATTTGTTTAAAAATATCCCAGAGGCTGTGATACTGTCATTCTGGCTGGGTTTATCCCCCAGCACCCTGGCCCCAGTGGCCTGTGAGTATCTGTATCCACCAGTGATTAGAACATTAGGGCCTGTTGTGTCTCCATGTCCAACAGAAGCACTGGAGAGATGGGGCCCGTTCTTACTCTGTCCCTTATTGGGGCTCTGTAAGTCCAAGGTGGGACATGGTGGTTCAGAGGTGGCCTCAGTTGACTGGCACCTATCCTCAGGCACAGGTGAGCTGGGTGACAGGAGCTGTGTCTCAGCCTTTGTTTGGACATCAGGTGACTGACACCTGTCCTCAGGTATCACAGGCAAGTTGGGTGTCAGTGTCACAGCCTCTATTTGGTCCTCTGGCTGTAAACATGGATGTGAAACTGTAGGGGACTGGGCCTGATGGATCTGGTGTTCTGTGTCAGTCTGGGGTTTCTTGTGTTTGGGTGGCCTCCCCCTCTTGCGACGTTCACCCTGTGGCTGTGACGCATCAGAGGTTATTTTCTCTGCTGTCCTCTTTTTTTGGGGTGAAACAAGTGTTTGAGACGGGCTAGAAGGGTTGATTGAAACTGGTGTTTCAGATGGGGTTGCAGGGTTGGTTGAAACAGGTGTTTCAGCTGGCTTAGCAGAGCTTGTTCCTTCCCCATCCCCAAAGCAGTGTGTGGGAGACGGAGGGCTAACTCCTGGCTGTGGAGTGGCTGTTTGCTGGTTGGACCAATCCGAGGTCTTCTGTGTGGAAGAGGAAGAACTGTCCTCTGGAGAATTCATGTTCAGGGCCAGGCAGTTCCTCCTCTGCAGGCTGGAGGAGAGGTCTGCAGACAGTACAGGGAGTGAGGAGGGGACATCTGAGTCTACCTTGTGGGTCTGTGATTTTTTGGTACATTTTCTCTTTGGGACCCAAGGAGGACTGAGTGTGGGAGAGGAAAGGTTGGTGGAGAGGTCTGCAGATAGCACAGGGAGTGAAGGGACCCCTGAGTCTACCTTATAGATATTTGATTTCTTAGTATATTTCCGATTTTTTATAGTTTCCTCCTGTGACTGTTCCGTGTCTCGTAAAACTACCTTATGCTTCTGTGATTTTTTTGTTGTATTTTCCACATTTCTCACAGTCTCATGTGAGTGCTCCTTATGGCTCTGTGATTTTTTTGTATAGTTCCTCTTTCTCACTGTCTCCTGTGATTGGTCAATCCCGAGTGACCGTTCTACCGTATGGCTTTGTGATGTTTTAGATGCCGCCTGGTCTACTCTATTCGTCTGTGATTTCATAGATGTGATTTTTCCAGTCTCCTCCTGTGACTGGTCAGTCTCCTGGGTCTGTGATTTTTTTGTATATTTCCCCTTTTGCACAGTCTCTTGTGAGTGGTCTACCTTGTGGGTTGAAGATATTTTAGACATATTTTTCCTTTTTGTTACAGACTCTTGTGACTGGTCTACCTTATGGGTTGGTGATTTTATAGATGTCTTTTTCCCATTTCGCACAGTTTTCTGTGACTGGTCAGCCTCCTGTGACTGGTCAGCCTCCTGTGACTGGTCAGCCTCCTGTGACTGGTCTACCTTAGGGGTCTGAGAATGTTTTGTATACGTCCTCTTTCTTACCGTCTCCTGTGACCAGTCTATCTTATGGGTTGGTGATTTTATAGATGTATTTTTTCCATTTCTCACAGTCTCACTCTCCTGTGACTGGTCAGTGTCCCTTGGCTGGTCTACCTTATGGCTCTGTGATTTTTTTGTATATTTCCTCTTTCGCCCAGTCTTTTGTGTTAGGCAATTCTCCTGTTCTACCTTAATGGTCGGTAAGGGTTTAGATGTATTTTCCCCATTTCTCACAGTCTCACTCTCCTGTGGCTGGTCGACCTTATGAATTTGTGATTTTTTTGCCGCCTTTCTCCCATCTCTCAGATTCTGTGGTGACTGGCACAGAGTCCTTTGCTCTTTGGCACATTTGTTTAAAAATATCCCAGAGGCTGTGATACTGTCATTCTGGCTGGGTTTATCCCCCAGCACCCTGGCCTCAGTGGCCTGTGAGTATCTGTATCCACCAGTGATTAGAACATTAGGGCCTGTTGTGTCTCCATGTCCAACAGAAGCACTGGAGAGATGGGGCCCATTCTTACTCTGTCCCTTATTGGGGCTCTGTAAGTCCAAGGTGGGGCATGGTGGTTCAGAGGTGGCCTCAGTTGACTGGCACCTATCCTCAGGCACAGGTGAGCTGGGTGACAGGAGCTGTGTCTCAGCCTTTGTTTGGGCATCAGGTGACTGACACCTGTCCTCAGGTATCACAGGCAAGTTGGGTGTCAGTGTCACAGCCTCTATTTGGTCCTCTGGCTGTAAACATGGATGTGAAACTGTAGGGGACTGGGCCTGATGGATCTGGTGTTCTGTGTCAGTCTGGGGTTTCTTGTGTTTGGGTGGCCTCCCCCTCTTGCGACGTTCACCCTGTGGCTGTGATGCATCAGAGGTTATTTTCTCTGCTGTCCTCTTTTTTTGGGGTGAAACAAGTGTTTGAGACGGGCTAGAAGGGTTGATTGAAACTGGTGTTTCAGATGGGGTTGCAGGGTTGGTTGAAACAGGTGTTTCAGCTGGCTTAGCAGAGCTTGTTCCTTCCCCATCCCCAAAGCAGTGTGTGGGAGACGGAGGGCTAACTCCTGGCTGTGGAGTGGCTGTTTGCTGGTTGGACCAATCCGAGGTCTTCTGTGTGGAAGAGGAAGAACTGTCCTCTGGAGAATTCATGTTCAGGGCCAGGCGAGCTCCAGTGCTTCAGCTCCTCAGGAGGGCAAAGCTTGTCATCTTGAGCTGTGGTGGAACCATGCAGGATGAGAACAGGTTTATTCTTTGTGTTGATCAAATAACAGCCATGTGAATTTCAGAGAGGGGTGTAATCTGTAGGCTTGTAGTGTGCATCTAAGAAACACTTTAGCAACAATCTAGTCAGCTAACCACAGCTTGTGAATAATTGAAAGTTCTGCTTAGCTAGCTATAACTTTAACAACAGAGCTAAATGCATTTGCATGTAACTAGCTAGTTGTGGGGATTGTGGGTTTACCATAGACAACAATACCAACACAGTAACACATAAAGTAAATTAGCTAGCACACATCTGTTAGTCGACACTCCACTGATCAGTCTCGTCGGACATTTTACAACAAAAATGATCGAATGAGATTACAGACAGTTGCCTAGCTTTGATAGCTTTATGTATTGACTTTGCATCCGCATATGCATGCCCACCGTGCTTGCTGGTCAAGCAACGGTAGCAAGCTAATGATAATTATATCGCCTACTCTGTACTGGCTAACCAGCTAGCTAGCTACTGTATCCGATTGCAATTAATATTTCGCTTACAACCTAGCAAGAAATAATAGTAGCATAGTAGGCTCCAAATACTGATTTGCATAAAGATGTATACATACACATAGACACAGCAAGGTAGATGGAATACTTTCTTCTAGATACTTGAAAGGTTGCAACTCCTCTCTGCATCTCGTCAGCAACTTTAAAACAAAGTACTTCCGGTTCACGGAATTTCGGACATTTTCAAAATAAAATTCACCCACTTTATGGTAGAAAAGTGCAAGTAACCTGTAAATAATTGTTTAAACATTAACAATGATTCATATTTATTCATATTTAAGTGGCATTTGCATTAAATTAGGGTTTTAATACATGTTCCAAGGTCAAATAAATGCCCCCAATGCGAATCACTGTATATGGAATAGGTATTGGCTTGTAGAACAAAAACTATTCTGGGTGCCGCACTAAAAGTATTGTAGGGAATAGTCAGTAGGGTCTGTAGAATGGTGTCATTTCACGGGGCTCTAAATAATACAGAGTGTTGCTGGCCTTTTACTGTGGTCAAACAGCTTAAAATGGGGTGCATGGACACTATTTGTATACAGTACAAATATAGCACTGTACAGGAAAAACGTTTTTATTTTTTTATTTTTTTAAGGGGGTAGATCAGCTTTAACATTGCAGATAGATTGTAACTTCCATAAAAGTAATTGTCTGCATCATTTCCAATCCCCCATATGTTATTTTTCTTCTTGCAAATACATACACATACACATACACATACACATACATACATACATACATAATATATATATATATGCATACATACATATATATATATATATATATATATATATATATATATATATATATATATATATATATATATATATATATATATATATACATACACATACATATACATACACATATACATATCCTTTAAAAAATATATATATTTCCCTTTATTACTTTCCAACCCCACCACCCCTTCCCTAATTGGAGTAAACTAGTGAACAACAATGCTTAGGCCTCTACTTCCAGCTTATACATACTATATACATTTTATGGACAGTCAATTTTACAATAATTATATTTTGCTTGTTTTTACTCCTGAACTTCCTTTACCCTCAACCTCTCCGATCATTTTCATAATGTCCATCCAGTTTGCTTCTATATGCCATATCTTTTTCTGACTGTGCTCTTTCACAAAATAAAAAACTTTTATTTGTGCCGATGTAAAAGTGGGGTGCAGAGTACTTAGTAGAGTCTGTAGAATCTATATATGGTGTTATTCCGTGGGGGTCTCTGGTCTATATGCCCAGCAGCCCTTTCTACTCCACCCATTTCATTTGTCCCAATGCAACACACTGTAGGCCTATAAATTAAATATTGGCTTAGAGAGAAAAAAGTATTCTAGTAGAGTCTGTAGAATCTACATTTAAGCAATAAGACCCGAGGGGGTGTGTTATTTGGCCAATATACCACAGCTATTTGGCCAATATACCAGGGCTGTTCTAAAGCGCGACGCAAAGCGGAGTGCCTGGATACAGCCCTTAGCCGTGGTATATTGGCCATATACCACAACCCCCCGAGGTGCCTTATTGCTATTATAAACTGGTTACCAATGTAATTAGAGCAGTAAAAAATAAATGTTTTGTCATACCAGTGGTATACGGTCTGATATACCACGGCTGTCAGCCAATCAGCATTCAGGGCTTGACCACCCAGTTTATAAATTGTGTTATTTCATGGGGCTCTGAATAATACTGAGTGTTGCTGGCCTTTTACTGTGGTCAAATAGCTTAAAATGGGAGCTTATATAGAAATAAATTATTATATGTGCAGAGGTAAAAGTGTGTTTGCGAGTACTCAGTAAGGTCTGTAGAAACCATCTTCAAATGACCCGGTGCTATCTATGGTCCTGAAGTCAATGCCGATATACACACTAAACTATTAACACTCAAATAACAAACGCATAAGGCAAACTTTTCAGTCAAAACAAAAATCTAATTTATTTACAGTTTAAACGTAATGAACATCAACCAGGCTATAGGCACACAGTCACTACAGTCACCAATTTTATCAAATGTGTCAGTTACAATTCATCGTCAAACACACTCTAGGATACATTCATTCATTTCCATCCCCCATTTCATAAAATGTTTTGGCAAAATATTTATGGTCTAACACACTTTATGATACATTCATTCATAGCAATCCCTCATCGAATAAATCCATTAAATTAGTGATGGCCACCAATATGGAAAATCGGTATCAGTTGCATTTTTCGATTCAATATTGATATCATATTGGTTCGTAGAAAATACATTGCAACTGTGTGAATGTTCACTTTTCTGTGAAGTCCAGACAACTGCTTGCGGATTTGCCCATTGGGCCAGGTGTGTTCTGGTGGTATAAACCTACCTAACCCGTTTTAATACAATGGGAAGCCCATCCACAATTGATGGCCTATCAGCAGGCACTTAAATACTACAACACTTTTACTGCAGCACCCAGAATAGTTTTTGCTCTATAAGCCAATATGTATTCCATATACAGTGATTCGCATTGTGGCCGCCAATGGAATGGGTGGAGTAAAAGGCCAGCAACACTCCGTATTATTCAGAGCCCCATGAAATGACACCACATATAAATAATACAGACCCTACTTAGTACTTCTTTCCCTACTTTTACATCATCACAAATAATCGTTTTTCCTGTACATTGCTATATTTGTACCGTATAGTGGCCAGGCACCATTTTAAGCTATTTGACCACAGTAAAAGGCCAGCAACACTCAGTATTATTCAGAGCCTCATCAAATAACACCATATATAGATTATATAGACCCTACTAGATTATTTTTTTCTTTATAAACCAATATGTAATTTATAGGCCTACAGTGTATTGCATTGGGACCAATGGAGTGGGTGGAGTAGAAAGGGCTGCTGGGTATTTAGACTACAGTCATCCAAGAAATAACACCATCTATAGACGCTACATCAATAGTTACATTCATTTACTTAAGCTCCAAAAATGTATCAATATGCTCCACCTTATAATATTATGTATCTTATATGAAATAGTAATTCTCTTTAGTTTTAACATGATGCACTATGCAAAGCTGCAAAAATAATTGATTTCATATCATACACAGAGTTTTACCGCATACTTTTATTTTGAAGGCAAAATCGGAAAAACGGAAGTCTTAATGCTGCTGTCGGGACACTAATGTTGCAGCCGTGACGCTAATGCAACTCCTGAGCCAAAACAACTTCTATCGTCAGGTTTTGCGCCCTTTGATTCATGGCATACGTAGCACATTACACTGAATTTAGGAGCAACGCTATTTTATTTTCCTTTATTTCAAGACAAGTTGACAACATTAAATATTTTGGCAGAAAACTATATACAAATATAAACAAAGAAACACAACACATACCAAAAGGCATTTACTGTAACAAACTAGTCATTGAACATTTCAGTCTGAGCCTATATCTATAGGGTTCTGGTCATGGCTTGAAAATGTTACATGTTATTCCATCACGTCATGATTTTAATACTGTATTGTGAAAGATATATGGGGGATTAGAAATGATGCAGACAATTACATTGATAGAACCCACAATCTATCTGCAATATTAAAGCTGATCTACCCCCAAGAGTGTTTTATCCACAGAGGAATAATTCAACACAGACATATGGCAAAGCAGTGCAAAATGTTTCCAACCCTACAGAAAAATATAATATATAACAGTACACACAGAGCACAGTGGTATAAGTATGTGTTAATCACATTACTAAACCCCTCAGATTCACGAGGAGGCCATCCTTGTTCTCTCCTCACAGTCAAAAAGCTATGGTTGACAATCCTGAGAGAAAGTAGGAAAAAAGACAGTAGGACACAGATAAACTAAAGCAATTGCAAACTATTATGCCATGTTGGTTTGATACAAGCCTACTTATATGAGGTTATCAATCATAGTATGTATGAGCAATAAACAGAAGTGATTCTTGTGGTGAATTACCATTGATCTTGCAACCTCTTCTTTCCCTGTAATACAAAACATCATGTACTTTTTAAGATCTTTGTTTAGTGGAAATGAAACTTAACAATAATGGGATTGCTGGTGTCCACATCACAACTACACCTTTTAGTTTAGTTTTTTGTATGTATGTATTTTTTAATTTATTTTTTTACATATGAGCTGCTGTATACTCACATTTGTGTCCTCAAATAGTGTTTGCTGGACTCGCAGGCTTTCATTTGACTCATTGCTGCCACCTCCTGGCTATTTGAAGCATCACATGAAGCAGAGCAGGAGTGGGACTGGTGGACAGCTTGGGTGAAGTTGAATTGTAACCACTCAAAAAGGTCTACAGAAATAAAAAACGGAACATTATTAAACAACATCTTCCAGTTCCATAAAATAACATTTATAATGTAAGACCTGTTGTTTATTCTGTAATCACTATCACGAGAGTGATATGATTCATGGCCAGGTCTCCCTTGTATAAGAGACTCTGTGTCTCAATGGGACTTTGCTTAAATAAAGGTTAAATCAAATAATAAACAATATTATTTGATCCAGTCCTACTGTACCTCTCTGTAGACTCAGATCGAGGGACAGATTTCTCTGTGTCTCTCTGTGCAGGCAAATAGCATTCCTTAGTGCTGTTTCATTCTCATGCAGCATCGCCTGTATACAAAGCAATACTAGAGTCACTGACAATCTATATGGATATGTTGTTTTAGAATGGATCGTTTTGACCAAAAGTTTTGATTCCAAGGAGTTGTATTCTGAACATGAACAGCATACAATCTATAATCTATGTATTCTGAACATGAACAAGGATGTCAAACATGCAAATGTCATTGAAGGCTACATGTAAACACACATTCTCCTGCAGGCTGAGGCTCAGGGACACATTAGTCTCTCTCAGTCTTTCAGCGACAACCTCCATCTCCTGCTGCAGTGTGGTTTGGTTCTCCTGGCTCAGCCTTATCGCCTCCAGCAAGGCCTGCTTTTCCTTCTCCCACACAACCTTTGCCCCCTCCATCTTCTCCGTCAGGGCCTGTGTAACAGAGTTAAGATTGTACCGGTAAGCCCTGGCTCGAGCTATTGTACAGACAGTGTACCCTGGGTTGTACCCAGATAGGGAGGGCACCATACTGCTAAACAAGCAGGCACACTGTGGTCCACACACCTGTTGGGCTACCTTGCACAGGGCCACACCCTTCATGTGAGGAGAGGTGGCCCACACCACGATAACAATGAGGGAGACTATGGACCACAGGGTCAGCAGTGCCATCACCAGGTTACAGCAGGTCCCGGATGACTTGGAACTCTTGGACCGAGCCATGGTGTTGAAGGGAGCAGGAGCTGTGGTTGCGCTGGGAATGACAAAGATCATATCCCTTGTCAGTTATGTTTGCCAACAGAGACAGACAGCAGTTGTACAAGCTCCAGGAAGGACTCTTTTGTGTCCACTGTGATGAAAACAAGATGAGAATTCTGAGTCCCAGAAGTTGTGCCTAGAGAAGAAAAAGCCAGCAGTAGCTCCAGACAGAAGTCTACACTTTATCAACTGAGCCTAACGACCCTTGTTACATAGGCTGAAGAAGAACTGTATATTGTAAGGTTTTCCGTTTAACTGTAGTCCTTTTTCAACAAAAACATCACTTACCTTTGTCCAAATGTCACTATAAAACCAATACCCAGTCTTTCGCCACTTCTTAGTTCGAATGCTTTTACGGAGGAAGAACCATAGCAGCCTCTCTGTGTTTATTTTACCATGCCAGGACTAGTGTACAGTACGCTCTGTGCTCATCACTGCACATTCCATCTCACTCGTTTTTAAACAAATCCTTTTGTAGAGGGTTGTTCACGTGCCAAATACTTCTAGAAATAAGCCTTTACTTTGCCCTGAGAAATGGCTGTAGACTCCTATGGCATCACAGTGCCTAGAGATAAATACATCCCAAATGGCACCCTATTATCTATATAGTGCACTACTTTTGACCAGGACCATAGAGATTAGATTTTAGAGAGATTAAACTCATCTCAATGGACACAATAAATATGCACAAGGAAAGTTAAGTTACATGTATTTAAGCTTGTTTATTTAAAACACAAACCTGTCATCGTTCAAACTTACCAATACATACCAATTATATGTTTTACGTACATAAAAATAATTTAATAAGAGATAGTTTGGAACACTGCTGTATTCTTAAGTGCAAATTAGTATATTAAACCAGTGGTGGAAAAAGTCCTCAATTTTCATACTTGAGTAAAAGTAAAGATACCTTAATAGAAAATGACTCAAGTAAAAGTCACCCAGTAAAATACTATTTGAGTAAAAGTCTAAAAGTATTTGGTTTTAAATATACTTAAGTATCAAAAGTAAATGGAATTGCTAAAATGTACTTAAGTATCAAAAGTAAAATAAAAAGTATAAATAATTTCAAATTCCTTATATTAAGCAAACCAGACGGCACAATTTTTTTTATTGAAGGATAGCCAGGGGCACACATCATTTACAAACAAAGCATTTGTGTTTAGTGAGTCCGCCAGATCAGAGGCAGTAGGGATGTTCTCTTGATAAGTGTGTGAATTGGACCATTTTCCTGTCAAAATGTAATGAGTACTTTGGGGTGTCAGGGAAAATGTATTGAGTAAAAAGTACATTATTTTCTTTAGGAATGTAGTGAAGTAAAAGTAAAGTACAGATACCCCCAAAACCTACTTAAGTAGTACTTTAAAGTATTTTTTACTAAACTAGGGAAATATACAGTATATAGGGTTCTATAGTTCTATGGTGAACATGGAATGTGATGCATAGATTTAATGACTTACTCATGGAATGTCTGAAGTGTGTGGGTTATTATGGTCGTAATGAAAATAAGTATATGTTTTATACTTTACATACTTTATCATGCAGATAATTTGGTATGAAGCTTATGTGCAATAGTTGTACTCAAACAGTGCAATAGTTGTACTCAAACAGGGCAGTTTCCCAGACACAGATTAAGCCTAGTCCTGGATTAAAAACCAAATTCAATAGAGAACTTCCATTGAGCATGCTTTTATCCAGGAAACTGGCCCAAAACGTTTTGAGGGAAAGTTACTACACCTGCATTTTCACTAACATGTCTAGCCATTACTACATATTTGCTTTTGCTTATGTACAGGCAGTAAGGTCTTCTATATCCAGGCAAAGCGTACAAATTACAAAACAGGTTTATACAATCTATATAGCTTAAGACTACTCTCTCCATACGGAAGACAACTATAGCGTTTGCATTTGTTTCATTTGCATCGCAATACAACAAGTCAGCTGAGTGACATATGGTATAGAATTATGGAGGACTAAAAGTGCCACAATTAAATAAATAAATACACCATTAAATAATTACTTAAATGTGTCATTAATTAATTCAAATTAGAATTAAATACATAAATGTGTAATTAAATGTATCATTAATTAATTCAAATACCGATTCATTTTATGTAAAATACATATAATTATTTCACTATTTACATTTACATTTCATGATCCTGCATTGCAGTGATTCATGAATTACTTAAAACTGTCAAACTGACCCATCAAAGTCAGTGGGCGGGGCTAACGCGAATCTAGTCTGATCCATTGCTTTGGTCTGAAGTAGAGTAGGCCAACCTGGATAGAGACAATGGAGGATCTCCGTGAACTTTCCAGGGAGTTGGTTAGAGACATTTTAAACTTAGCAGAGGATGTAGAAGCAGGACCTGCTGACATTATCCGGAATTGATTTGTCTTGGCTTGATGCAGAGGGTAACCAATCAGGCGTTAGGTTCCGCCTACCAACTTTTGATGGGTCAGTTTGACAGTTTTAAGTAATTCAGGAAGCACTCCAACGCAGGACCATGAAATGTAAATGTAAATAGTGAAATTATTATATATGTATTTTACATAAAATGAATCGGTATTTGAATTAATTAATGACACATTTAATAACACATTTATGTATTTAATTCTAATTTTAATTAATTAATGACACATTTAAGTAATTATTTAATGGTGTATTTATTTATTTAATTGTGGCACTTTTAGTCCTCCATATAGAATAGATAGCCTGCTGTCAATAAGATGAAGTACTGGGATCTCCCTAGAATACATCAACATTCATTTCCTGTTATTTCTGTGCAATTTGTACTATGTATGCACTCACTAACTGTAAGTCGCTCTGGATAAGAGCGTCTGCTAAATGACTAAAATGTAAAATAACAGTCAGCTGTGAATGATACATGTTATGAGGCGAGGGGAATATTGCTTACATGAAATTGGCATACCAAGCCAGACTAAGGCTGTCGCACAGGAACAGACTTATACCACGTATTCCTTCAACTATGGGGCTTAAAGAGGAAAATGATTGCATGTGCAGAAATCCAAATATACTGCAAAAACTAACAGCATATTTTACAAACAATGTGTCAGTATTGTGTATAACAATCAATATTCCTTATCTTCAATGTAAAAATTAATTTAGAAAATGTATTATTAAAATAATATGTATTTTGTTGACCAAACATATTCATAGTAGGGACTCTGCATTGCTAGTTCTCTCATTACAAAGTGATACAGGAGGAGCAACCTTTTTCCCGATAAAATGTCTGAGGGGCAGCATGGCTTATGATCGAGGGCCCAGCATTTTCTCTAACCCGAAGAACTCTCGACCCTCGTTCTGAATCTGATGACAGCTGGTGTAAATATGAGCCCTGTTTGTGCCATAAACACACAGACACAGAAAGAAGAAGAATAATGTCAGTGATTCCAACAACCACACCAACACCAGAAAAACTCTGGGCCCTACTTCCAAATGTGATGACAACTGGTGTACATGTACAGTCCTGACTGTACCATACAAACATACAGACACAGTAGGAAGTTAGCTGAGAGCTAGAATAATGTAATTCAATGATTCCAGACCCAGCCCGGTTGGACTTTGCCTTCAGGCCATGACCAGGGCCTCCTGTAGCTCAGTTGGTAGAGCATGGCGCTTGCAACGCCAGGGTTGTGGGTTCGTTTCCCACGGGAGGCCAGTATGAAAAAGTCGCTCTGGATAAGAACGTCTGCTAAATGACAAAAAAGAAAAATGACCAGACCAACCTATAAGGAAGAAGCTGAGAGTGTAGATTGAGAATAATGTCAGTGATTCTATGAGAATAATGTCAGTGATTCTAGAAGGCAGGCCAGGCTCAGGACAATTCTAAAAGTCAAGCTGGAGCCAGGTCTCAGGGGATGACCAGACTGTCCTTCTCCCGCTCTATCCCTCTGACCAGCTCCTCCACCCAGCGCACCTCCGACGCCGCCTGCTCCGCCAGGACCTCGTAGCGGTTCTCCAGGCGCCCAAACTTCCTCTTGAGTGAGTTAGCGGCCAGCATGGCGGCGCGGGCGTCTTCCTGGCTCTGTCTGCACTGGGCCTGGGTACACTGCAGCGCCTGGCGGATGTGACCCAGGTCGCTGGCGATGCTCTGGTTCTCCTCCTGGTACCAGCCCTCCTTCTCCTCATAGATAGAGAATAGAGCAGCCACGTCCTCCTGACATGACCTGGAGAAGAGAGGGGGATGTTAGAATGAATGGATAGATGTATTGTTGTATCTAACTAGAGCGGCTTTATATGTATTTTTAATAATCACATAAATTAATTAATCCTTCCATTCATTGAATCATCCAACTATCCATCCGTTTATCCCTCCCACCTCTGGTTGTGCTCCAGGTCTCTCAGCCCCTCCTCGGCAGCAGCGATCTCCTCCAGCACCTGGGAGAAGCGTTCAAAGTTGACGTAGGTGTTGTTGGGGGGCATGGAGGAGTGGGACTTGATGGTGTACTCCTTTAGACGCGTCGTCTTCAGGCGCCTGCGCTCCGGCTTCTTTTCGCTCTCCTCCTGGCGCACGTTCCGCCTCTTGATCACCTGGGAGGAGAGGGGGTTTAATAGATAGTAGAAAAAAAAGGGGGGCGAAATGTGCTCAATTCTTTTGTCTAGCCAAAAAACTTCAGTATAATGGGTGCTATAAGCCAGGAGTTGCATATATTTTGGGGGATTAGTGATATATTTTTGGGGATTACTGATATGTGAGGTACAGTATGTATGAGGAGATGGTGAGAGGTGCCTACCTTGATCCAGGGATGTTGAAGGCTTTCATCGATGGTCATTCTCTTCCTGGAGAAATAAGAGCATTTGTAAATGATTAGATATGAAAATCAATGACTCATTTCTTCCTTACTTTTATGCCTTGGTATTTGCAATTCTAACATTTCCACCCAAGACCAAGGTTCACCTAGGCTATGGTGCAGAAAGGTACAAACCTTCATTTCTTGCTAGGTTCCCTAAGATAATATGCTATTAAAAAAGACAGACAAAGTGCATGGTTCCTGTGTATGTTATTTTAAGCATTCCCTGGCATATTCCGTCCAGAGTAAACCAGGCTTACTTGGGATCCTTGACCAGCAGCCGTCTGATGAAGTCCTTGGCCAACTCGCTAGTGTTGCTGAAGTACTCCTCGTCAAAGTCATAGTTGACTGCTGAGATGTTGGTCAGAGTCTCCTGCTTGGTCTCCCCCAGGAACGGAGAGGCACCACTCAACCTGAGGACCAACAGACAGCATGGTGAGACCACCATACCGGAGGTAAAACAGTAGTATTATGTCATCTTTCAGGCCATGGCCAAACATTATATCCAGTATATTGGCTTACTTGCTATGTCATAACTTTGACGATGGAATTACTGAGAAATAACTCACTTCTATAGTTGTCATTTGTAATGCAAAAATGGATATAGATTTGAAACACTTTAACATAACACTGTTTATGTTGCTCAACTGACTGTATGAAAAGAGACAAACATTATAATGTGAACCAGTACTTACAGAATGTATGTGATAACTCCAATACTCCTGGAGAGACAAGAGGGACAGAACTTAGTGAAATGTACCCTCAGAGCAAAACAACAAGAAAACATTCTCAAAAACATTTTAAAAAAACATTTTAAATAATCTTAGTCCATTTTACCACATGTCAGCCTCCAGGCCTAGCGGTTCATAGTTGACTATCTCTGGAGCTGTAAAACAAGCAGCATTATTACCGGGATCGCTTTAAAGCCTTAATTCAACTCAGATGGTCGTCAAGGATATCCCAACACACAGACCTCCACTTAATAAGATAAATGTGAAGGAATATTTACCCTATGTGGGCATACCATAACAATAAGATATTTGTGTAAATATACATTTTATGGATACTGTATGTGTTAACAAGGAATGTGTAGGATAGAATAGAACAACTTTATTTTTTCCAAAGGGAATCTGAACCTGAAGTGAAAATAATACATTTGAACATAAAAGCCGTACTGACAGTTCATGGCTCTTTTGGTCTTGAGGGGTAGGAGAGGGTCTCACCAACGAATTCTGGCGTTCCGAAGATGTTCTTAAACTCGTTCCCAGCTTTGATCTGATGAGCGATGCCGAAGTCGATGAGTTTGATCCTGGGGTTGGGAATATTCTTATCCAGCAGCATAATGTTCTCCGGCTGAAACAAAAACAAACAAGCATTCCATAATACAAGTTAGAAGAGAATGGATACACTACAGATGTTTTGAAATATAATAAAAATGTCAAAAATACCTGACCGGAATTATTATTATATCCTAAACGGTATACTATCATGGTACACTACATGACCAAAAGTATGTGGACACCTGCTCGTCGAACATCTCTCTCCAAAATAATGGAAATCAATATGGAGTTGGTCCCCCCTTTGCTGCTATAACAGCCTCCAATCTTCTGAGAAGTCTTTGCACTAGATGTTGCCATAAGAGCATTAGTGAGGTCAGGCACTGATGTTGGGTGATTAGGCCTGGCTCACAGTCGGCTTTCCAATTCATCCAAAAGGTGTTCGATGGGGTTGAGGTCAAGGCTCTGTTAAGGCCAGTCAAGTTCTTCCACACCGATCTCAACAAACCATTTCTGTATGGACCTCGCTTTGTGCACGGGGGCATTGTCAAGGGCCTTCCCCAAACTGTTGCCACAAAGTTGGAAGCACAGAATCGTCTAAAATGTAATTGTATGCTGTAGCGTTAAGATTCCCCTTCACTGAAACTAAGGGGCCTAGCCAAACCATGAAAAACAGCCCCAGACCATTATTTCTCCACCAAACTTTACCGTTGGCACTATGTATTTGGGCAGGTAGCATTCTCCTGGCATCTGCCAAACCCAGAGTTGTCCGTCGGACTGCCAGATGGTGAAGCGTGATTCATCACTCCAGAGAACGCGTTTCCACTGCTCCAGAGTCCAATGGCAGCAAGCTTTACACCACTCAAGCCAACGCTTGGCACTGCGATCTTAGGCCTTTGTGCGGCTGCTCTGCAATGGAAACTCATTTCATGAAGCTCCAGACAAACCAAACAGTTCTTGTGCTGACGTTGCTTCCAGTGATAGTTTGGAACTCGGAAGTGAGTGTTGCAACTGAGGAGACGATTTTTACGTGCTACAGCACCATTCTGTGAGCTTGTGTGGCCTACCACTTTGCGGCTGAGCCATTGTTGCTCCTAGACCTTTCCACTTCACCACAGCCCTTAGAGTTGACCCAACAGCCCTTAGAGTTGACCGGTGCAGCTCTAGCAGGGCAGAAATTTGACGAACTGACTTGTTGGAAAGATGGCATCCTATGACGGTGCCACGTTGAAAGTCACTGAGCTCTTCAGTAAGGCCAATGTTTGTCTATGGAGATTGCATGTCGGTGTGCTCGATTTTATACACCTGTCAGCAACGGGTGTCTGAAATAGCCGAATCCACAAATTTGAAGGTGTGTCCACATACTTTTGTATATATAGCATATGTGTTTAATAAAGACAACTGTTGACTGTTTAAAACACCAGCCTGGATCGTGTTCACTAGGCACCAAACAGCTAACCAGGCAGAGACTACCTGGACTTAAGAATAAGAAGCGCTCATTTTCGTATTCCATTGCAAAACATTTTCTGTTGAACATGACCCTGGCTTACCCAGCTCCACAGCCTACAGTTCACCTTGTGATCAAAGTGTGCAATGTGTTTGAGTGCAGGTAGTAGACCTCATCTGAGATCTGTGTGTGTGTGTGTGTGTGTGTGTGTGTGTGTGTGTACCTTGAGGTCAAAGTGAGCTATGCGTTTGGAGTGCAGGTAGTGGACCCCAGCCAGGATCTGTTTGAGGAAGTGTGTGGCCTCCTCCTCTGTTAAAGACTCCTTCTCTGCCAGGAAGTCAAACAGCTCCCCTCCAGACACCCTGAAACACAACACACACAACTAGCATCTCAACAGAACCACATCAGGATGTTTTTGGATTTTTCACTTTACAAGAGAGCAGGAACAGACTGGCACCCAGGCTAATTTGAACCCAGGTTTGTGGCCATACGTACAGTGAGGGAAAAAAATATTTGATCCCCTGCTGATTTTGTACGTTTGCCCACTGACAAAGAAATGATCAGTCTATAATTTTAATGGTATGTTTATTTGAACAGTGAGAGACAGAATAACAACAACAAAATCCAGAAAAACGCATGTCAAAAATGTTATAAATTGATTTGCATTTTAATGAGGGAAATAAGTATTTGACCCCTCTGCAAAACATGACTTAGTACTTAGTGACAAAACCCTTGTTGGTAATCACAGAGGTCAGACGTTTCTTGTAGTTGGCCACCAGGTTTGCACACATCTCAGGAGGGATTTTGTCCCACTCCTCTTTGCAGATCTTCTCCAAGTCATTAAGGTTTCGAGCCTGACGTTTGGCAACTCAAACCTTCAGCTCCCTCCAGAGATTTTCTATGGGATTAAGGTCTGGAGACTGGCTAGGCCACTCCAGGACCTTAATGTGCTTCTTCTTGAGCCACTCCTTTGTTGCCTTGGCCGTGTGTTTTGGGTCATTGTCATGCTGGAATACTCATCCACGACCCATTTTCAATGCCCTGGCTGAGGGAAGGAAGTTCTCACCCAAGGTTTGATGGTACATGGCCCCGTCCATCGTCCCTTTGATGCGGTGAAGTTGTCCTGTCCCCTTAGCAGAAAAACACCCCCAAAGCATAATGTTTCCACCTCCATGTTTGACAGTGGGGATGGTGTTCTTGGGGTCATAGGCAGCATTCCTCCTCCTCCAAACACGGCGAGTTGAGTTGATGCCAAAGAGCTTGATTTTGGTCTCATCTGACCACAACACTTTCACCCAGTTCTCCTCTGAAACTTCAGACGGCCCTGTATATGTGCTTTCTTGAGCAGGTGGACCTTGCGGGCGCTGCAGGATTTCAGTCCTTCACGGCGTAGTGTGTTACCAATTGTTTTCTTGGTGACTATGGTCCCAGCTGCCTTGAGATCATTGACAAGATCCTCCCGTGTAGTTCTGGGCTGATTCCTCACCGTTCTCATGATCATTGCAACTCCACGAGGTGAGATCTTGCATGAAGCCCAAGGCCGAGGAGGATTGACAGTTATTTTGTGTTTCTTCCATTTGCGAATAATCGCACCAACTGTTGTCACCTTCTCACCAAGCTGCTTAGCGATGGTCTTGTAGCCCATTCCAGCCTTGTGTAGGTCTACAATCTTGTCCCTGACATCCTTGGAGAGCTCTTTGGTCTTGGCCATGGTAGAGAGTTTGGAATCTGATTGATTGATTGCTTCTGTGGACAGGTGTCTTTTATACAGGTAACAAACAGAGATTAGGAGCACTCCCTTTAAGAGTGTGCTCCTAATCTCAGCTCGTTACCTGTATAAAAGACACCCGGGAGCCAGAAATCTTTCTGATTGAGAGGGGGTCAAATACTTATTTCCCTCATTAAAATGCAAATCAATTTATAACATTTTTGACATGCGTTTTTCTGGATTATTTTGTTGTTATTCTGTCTCTCACTGTTCAAATAAACCTACCATTAAAATTAAAGACTGATCATTTCTTTGACATACAAAATCAGAAGGGGATCAAATACTTTTTTCCCTCACTGTATAAAATGTCTGAGTAGTTGTGCTGATCTAGGATCACATCCCCCCTGTCTATGTAATCGTATTAATTGTGAACTTAAAGGCAAAACTAATCCTAGATCAGAATTTCTACTTTGACACTATTTATGAATACGACCTTGGTCTCATCTAGTCGCCCTTACAGCTCCAGGATGAGGATGACGTCAGTCTTGTTCTCAAAGATGTCGTGCAGCGTGATGATGTTGCTGTGCTGGATCTCTCCCAGGATGTTCACTTCCCTCTCGATCTCCTCGCGGCTCACGCCCCGGCGGCTGGACGACAGGCGACGCTTCTTGATGAACTTGGCGGCGTACTCTGAGCCAGAGGGCTTCTCTTTACACTTCCGTACGATGGCAAACTGTCCGCTGAGGGGAGAGGGGCAATTACATAATGAGAATGATGATACAAAGTAAAACATGAACATAGAATACACAGGAAAGAGTGACTGGGCCACAATCAGATAGCTCATCTAGAAAAATCCAGATTTGAAGCAATATACCAATCTTGACTACAGATTGTATAGGCTAGTGTTCAGTGGCCGCATTGCAGCACTGGCTGGCAGTTTCATAACTTTGATGTAATAAGACGAAGACCCTAAGCAAATGTAAAGTGGGCGGGAAAAAAAACACCCAACATTTGATTTAGTGCATGGTAATGCTATAGGAAGAATTAGCTATGAATGCTGCATTCCAGTGAGTCAATATGTTCCTATAGAAATGTCTTGGGTTATTGTCTGTCTGCAAATAACTGAATTTTCTGCTCTGACATTTAATGTGTCTGCAAGCCCTTTCCCAGGGGTTAAAACAAAACAAAAATCCCATGACTGAAACTTAAAGGCATCCACCAGTGATTTTTGAACTTTTCCTGTTGAAAAGTGATATTACAAGTATAAACACAGTAAAGTACACACTAAAGGACTGAGAAGCTTTTTAAAAAAGGACAATCTACTCCAAAATGAATGAAAATAAAATTATGCTGATAACATCTCAAATATAATTTCCACTTCTAGAAATGAGTCAAATAACATATTGGTGAAACATTTATTTTTATATTGGACCATGCATATAGCCTATGCATGGTCTATATAATCAGACGTGCTATTAGCAATAAGCATTATCACCTGTAGCCCAACTGATGCAGCATAGTGGCTATAAAATGTACAGTGGTGAATTTTAAATGAAAATATCAGTGGGGCAAACTCAATCAACAAAGCTCATAGGCATCGAAACCAGTACACTACACTGGCTACACATTGAGTCCCAGAAAAGAGTTGAGCCACACACAAACGTTATAACATGGGTTATTATCAGTTTATGGCTACTTCCCATATCTTTAGCTCTTATTGCACGGAAGACCACGGTAGTCGAGCATACTTTTATAGAGTTAACTAGCTAGTAATCTGTCTGCAATATTATGTGCGTCTGCCTGCCTGATACAAAGGGGCCCGGTTAACAATATGCAACGTTTATAAGGCTATTCTCTTGCTTAATCTATTGCACAGTTCCAAATACATTTATAACTAACCCTTCCTTTACATGTGGTTCCATGCGTATTACAGTCTGCCATCAAACATCAACAATAATATACAGTGGGGAAAAAAAGTATTGTCAGCCACCAATTGTGCAAGTTCTCCCACTTAAAAAGATGAGAGGCCTGTAATGTTCATCATAGGTACACGTCAACTATGACAGACAAATTGAGGAAAAAAAATCCAGAAAATCACATTGAAGGATTTTTTATGAATTTATTTGCAAATTATGGTGGAAAATAAGTATTTGGTCACCTACAAACAAGCAAGATTTCTGGCTCTCACAGACCTGTAACTTCTTCTTTAAGAGGCTCCTCTGTCCTCCACTCGTTACCTGTATTAATGGCACCTGTTTGAACTTGTTATCAGTATAAAAGACACCTGTCCACAACCTCAAACAGTCACACTCCAAACTCCACTATGGCCAAGACCAAAGAGCTGTCAAACGACACCAGAAACAAAATTGTAGACCTGCACCAGGCTGGGAAGACTGAATCTGCAATAGGTAAGCAGCTTGGTTTGAAGAAATCAACTGTGGGAGCAATTATCAGGAAGTGGAAGACATACAAGACCACTGATAATCTCCCTTGATCTGGGGCTCCACGCAAGATCTCACCCCGTGGGGTCAAAATGATCACAAGAACGGTGAGCAAAAATCCCAGAACCACACGGGGGGACCTAGTGAATGACCTGCAGAGAGCTGGGACCAAAGTAACAAAGCCTACCATCAGTAACACACTACGCCGCCAGGGACTCAAATCCTGCAGTGCAGACGTGTCCCCCTGCTTAAGCCAGTACATGTTCAGGCCCGTCTGAAGTTTGCTAGAGTGCATTTGGATGATCCAGAAGAGGATTGGGAGAATGTCATATGGTCAGATGAAACCAAAATATAACTTTTTGGTAAAAACTCAACTCGTTGTGTTTGGAGGACAAAGAATGCCGAGTTGCATCCAAAGAACACCATACCTACTGTGAAGCATGGGGGTGGAAACATCATGCTTTGGGGCTGTTTTTCTGCAAAGGGACCAGGACGACTGATCCGTGTAAAGGAAAGAATGAATGGGGCCATGTATCGTGAGATTTTGAGTGAAAACCTCCTTCCATCAGCAAGGGCATTGAAGATGAAACGTGGCTGGGTCTTTCAGCATGACAATGATCCCAAACACACCGCCCGGGCAACGAAGGAGTGGCTTCGTAAGAAGCATTTCAAGGTCCTGGAGTGGCCTAGCCAGTCTCCAGATCTCAACCCCATAGAAAATCTTTGGAGGGAGTTGAAAGTCTGTGTTGCCCTGCGACAGCCCCAAAACATCACTGCTCTAGAGGAGATCTGCATGGAGGAATGGGCCAAAATACCAGCAACAGTGTGTGAAAACCTTGTGAAGACTTACAGAAAACGTTTGACCGGTGTCATTGCCAACAAAGGGTATATAACAAAGTATTGAGAAACTTTTGTTATTGACCAAATACTTATTTTCCACCATCATTTGCAAATAAATTCATTAAAAATCCTACAATGTGATTTTCTGGAAAAAAATCTCATTTTGTCTGTCATAGTTGACGTGTACCTATGATGAAAATTACAGGCCTCTCTCATCTTTTTAAGTGGGAGAACTTGCACAATTGGTGGCTGACTAAATACTTTTTTCCCCCCACTGTTTGTAGCCTATAGGATATTATAGCTAGCCTACCTCAAAACAGATGTTAGCAACTGCTACATGATCCACCACCAACCACTCGACTTGAATCTTCTTTTCCAGCTTGCTTTATTTTATTGGATGGACATAGTTTAGGAGAATAATGAGCACCAGACGTTCTCTCTACATTTCCTTTATAACGCTAAGTTAGAAAATTATTTGCTAGGACATAGCTTAGCTAGTCGACATGTTTCAGCTAGCTTAGCTACCTAGCTTGAAGACGTGGTAACAGTGCGTGGTAAACAACTAGCTAGCTATGAAGTTAACACATCAGTCCAATCAGAGTTACCGGGCATAAGACATTGATTTATCTGTAGCCAATGACAATATTGTTGTGACATGAAATAACAGAATTGAATGGAAATCTGCTTGAGCCCAACGTGACGCATCACCACTGAAAATGTACATAGGCTAAAGCATGTGGTTTGTCCATCTGCATTTACCCCATTGGACACAACATTTTAGTCATTTAGCAGACGCTCTTATCCAGCGCGTCTTAAAGTTAGTGAGTGCATACATGTATTTTTATTTTTTTCATACTGGCCCCCGTGTTGTTGATGTTTCTATCACGAAGTAGGCCTACGTCATTGCCCTTTTAAGAGGCCATTTCCCCTTTAAGAGCTCTGTTATGCAGCTGTGCCTAACATGCTTATAACTGCATTTGTAAAACGATGCCACTTGCGCAATTGAAGGAGTAGAGAAATAAACGTAGTAGCAATGGAAAACTGTGTTGCCCCTCTTTTTTTAACAAAGGCCAAAACTGCTTTCAAAATACATTTGCCAAAACTGCTTTTAAAAGTGTTTTCCTGTAATTGCATTAAGAATTATTGTGCATTGACTGCTTGCCAGAATACGTTTCCCTGTAGGCTACACACCACTTGTCACAGTGCGTAGTTAAGGGACGGTAGACAGAGCGCTCGTGGAGTGACATCCTTTTCATTTAAACTTGTCACACTAAGTATTCAAAAATAAACAAGGAGAGAAAAGCACCAAGTGACTTACGAGCTGTGAACACAATTGCAGACACGCACAAACACGAACAATGATCCACACACAGGTGGATGTGAGAGGTGCCTAAATACTATCCCCAATCAGAGACAAACTCTAGACAGCTGTCTCTGATTGGGGATCATAAACCACCCCGTTATGATGTGAAGGCTTGACTGTGGTCCTACCCCTCCCCCTAGTAGGAGTAAGGCCTAACCACAGTCAAACCCTCACACCACTGTTTGAATTGAGCGCTGCGGTGGTGCGCATTATAGACTATTTCCTTCCCTTCATCTGAACATCGGAGTGTCAGCAACAATCACGCATGTCAGTTCAGTGCACACAGCGTAACAGAGAAAATAAAATACTTGAGAAAACATTTATTTAGGAAAAGATTTCGTAGAACAGACATGCTTCTGTATTAGGCCATGTCACACACACACCCCCCCCCCCCAGAGATTTTTTATAGCGGATCTATGATGTCAATGATGTCATTCTTCTGCTGCAACGCTGTAGCAAACAACCCTACTTCCATATAAAGGTAGGAAGTCAGGTTTAGTGTGTCCCAAATGTCACCCTATTCCCTTTATAGTACACTATGTTCAAGTAGAGCGCTATGTAGGGAATAGGGTGCCATTTGGGATGAAGTCAGGTTTAATCCTCTACAAGCATGACTCATTCTATTGCTCTAGCTCTGTTTAGTTTAAAAGGACTTGTTAAAAACAGAGCTTGCATAACAAGGCAGAGTGCGATGCAGTTTAATAAACAGTCCCACAAATACACTGGGGATGTGCCAATGGATGTTTTCCTCCAGCTATGCATTTTCAGGTTAAATAAGTGGTATTATACTGGTATATCATTATGAGAGTCAAACAACGGATTCTATATTAAAAAGATTGTTTGGAGAAATTGTGTTTCACTTAACATGCAAGCGAGAACTAAAAGGTGACAAGAGATCTGCATTATTCTGCCACCTCATTCAAAACATATTCATTAGTAGGCACACTTGATTGAGCTTGTCTGCTGTGCTGGGTAGGCCAGGTTTCGAGTTTCCCTCACTTGCCCTGAAGTGCGAACTCTACTGATAAAGAAATGTGTGAGTAAGATATGACTAAAATGTCACACCCTCAGTTAAACTAATAATGTATGACTATATATATATATAAGATGCATATTTGCCCAGCAACAGAGGATTTGTGTCTTGTAATTAGGCAAGCAGAAGTGCAAACGTTGAAACCAATAACAGGAGACCGGTTTCAAAAAACAGATGTCCCCACACAGGGAGGGGGATTGAGAGGCTTGCAGAATATTGTGAGAACAGCGATAACTATGTATGGGAATAGAGAAAAAAATGCAGCTTGCCCGAGCAAGGACTAGGCTATGATAAGAACATGTGTGTGTGTGTGTGTGTATGTATGTGTGAGTATAAAGAGACTGTGCGCCCATTTTGTGGCAGAGCGCTCTCTGAATAAATACTGATCATTGTATGTTGGGACTCTGTCTGATTCATTGAACTGGAGCTTTTACAACCTTCAGGACTCAGACAGAGATATAAAATAGTTCAGTTTGAATATTGAGATACATCATTCTCGTGACATCTACCCACTGATGCAACGGGCAAGCTGAATCAAGTCAAGGCTAGTATCATCCAGCAATACAGTATCACACACACACACGTCCGATCTTGAAATGGCAGAAAAATCTGTGTGCTCTCAGATAGTAGTAGTAGTTAGTCCTACACTTGTCAGAACTTACCTTCCCAGCTCCTCCCCCATATCGTAGAATACCTCCACATCCTCTTGCCTGAAGCCAGCCATGGTCTGACTGGGTTGCTGCTGATAGAAGCTGTGTCTTGAATCCAACTGAAATACAGAACAGGGGAAAAAATTAGTTTTAGTAACTGCCAGAGAAAGAGCACAAAGGTTTAAGACCAATGACAGATTCATGCGATGTTGACATGAGCAGAAATGCCTAAATGAACTACAGGTATGATTGTTGTTGTAGACATGTTATAGCATCATTAGGTGGCAGGGTTAATCAAATCAGCTCAAACAAACACATACAGTATGGATGTATGACAGTGTGCACATTCAACCCCAACAGCAGTGGCCGTCCTTATTTGGCCAAAGTCAACATAGCAGGCTGATAATTCCACAGTCATATTACGTCATATTCTTCCATCAACTACCTAGCTGATTAAAGGCTCTCAATGCGGTTTTAACATGACATTAGATAACCATTTGCTCACTTCTGTCATCAAGAAACAAACCTTTCTAGCTATATCTAGATAGAGTTCAATGTGTCAAATCGGATGGCCTGTTGTCTGGACCTATGGCAGTCTCTATGGGGGTGCCACAGGGTTCAATTCTCGGGCCGACTCTTTTCTCTGTGTATATCAATGATGTCGCTCTTGCTGCTGGTGACTCTCAGATCCACCTCTACGCAGACGACACCATCTTGTATACATCTGGCCCTTCATTGGACACTGTTAACAAACCTCCAAACGAGTTTCAATGCCATACAACACTCCTTCCGTAGCCTCCAACTGCTCTTAAACACTAGTAAAACTAAATGCATGCTCTTCAATCGAACGCTGCTGGCACCCGCCCACCCGACTAGAATCACTACTCTCGGCGGGTCTGACCTAGAGTATGTGGACAACTACAAATACCTAGGTGTCTGGTTCAGGGACGGCCTGTTCAATAGGGCGATATGGGCGACGCACTGCCAAACGGGAAAAGGAAGGGATTTTTTTTCTAATCAATTATATCACGGCAACAGTAGTTATCAGTGTTGTAATCTATACGTCTGATCTGCCACAGTGCCACACTGCCACTAAATGTCGAATCAGGCTAAAGTCGTGCTTCAAATGGCTCCACCCCCTTTTGGGGCGATTTCAGTCAGATTGAAAATCGCCCAGAACTTCTGTCATAGACTCCCATGTAAAATCTATTTTTTTCAAATTTCAGAGCCTTCAATACAATCTCAATGGGTGTCTGTGGGCTTGCACTTACGCGCTTTCGTCATACGTTACGTAACCATGAACGTAACTGAGAAAAGAGTGGATTGTTTGAAAGAAGTTCCTTTTTGTCGGCGAACAAATGAAGATAAATTGGCAACGAAACAATTAGGACCTCCCAGACCAAATTTAATAATTCAACAGGTTTCTACTAAAGGCGGAAAGTCCTACACCCGAGGATTTTCCAAAAATTGGTACGAACGAAAAAAGACATTGCCACTCACTCAACTGGATGACGAGGGATACAGGCTAGCTGTCCGCCGCCACAACGATGAGGTTAGTGTTGATAATCACAAGTTTACTGGATGTGGATATGGTGTAATAAAGGCAGTTTATTCAGAGGTAAATATATCTGGAATCGCGTTCACGGACCCGTTCGTCAAACTCTTAGGGAGCTATAAATTAAGCCCCATTACTTACCATATCAGATAAGAGAAATTGCTGCAGCTACATATATTTTACATCCTGGCCCTACATAGTTCACTATTTGCATCACTTACCAAAATATTACATGTGGTCATATATGCTTGGAAAGTGGAGATGCCATAGAACGTCAAAAAAGTAAACATTGCTGGAGACACATTGCCGTTTTGGAGAAGACATCGCGTTTGCTAGCGAAGAGATTTGTTGTGGCAAATGAACTTGGGCTGGGAATTGCCAGGAACCTCACGATAAGATATATGCATCAGCATTGCGAGTCTCATGATTCTATACGTATTGCGATTCGATACTGTGATTTTATTGCGCACCATATGTCTGTTGCAGAGGGATCAGAAAGCCATGAGAACGAGTTTTGATCAGTCATGGAAATAAAAGTGCTGAAAACAAATTGGCTCCCAATGTGAAAAGATTGAGAACAAGCTATGAAGGAACAATAATGGTGTTTTGGTGCAGGTACAGCCAACTAGCGCTAAAATATTGCGATATTGTCAATACAGTATATCGTAAAGTATCACTATGTAACTCGATTTCTTTCACCCCAATCCCTCAAATTAACGGTAAATAACTGAATTGTTTGCCCCACATTTAGCTAAGATGATTAGCTAGCCAGCTAAAATGTTTTAGTTAGTTAGCAGTCGCATCTACAATAGTTTACTGTCAATAACATGTCTCCAAAAATGACGTGGTGTCTCCAATTGTGTTGACATTTTACAATTGCAATGCGCATCCATGAGTATCCACTTTCTGTAGCTCAGCTGGTAGAGCATGGTGCTTGTAACGCCAAGGTAGTGGGTTCGATCCCCGGGACCACCCATACACAAAAATGTATGCATGCATGACTGTAAGTCGCTTTGGATAAAAGCGTCTGCTAAATGGCATATTATTATTATTATTATTATTATTATTATTATTATCTGAAGAGAGCCCCGAAACATTGTGTGCAGACATTTTATGCAATAAATGAAGTAGGTTCAATCTAGTAGTTCTGATCTTCTGATTGGTCCTGATGAGTTGGGCGAGGTCCCCTGCAGGCTACTGTCACTGTTGCATTGGCTCTGAGTCGGGTTCTCTGTCTTCAAATGTTCAGCCTAAGAGAGGGGATTTTTGTGTGTGTGTGTGTGTGTGTGTGTGTTTAACAGTGATGATGTGTGTGTGTGTGTGTGTGTTTAACAGTGATGATGTGTGTGTGTGTGTGTGTTTGTGTGTGTGTGTGTCCTCAGAGCAAGAACTCGTGAGTTGGAAGAACTGAGAGGCCTATGGCGTGGGTGTTGTCCTTGGCCACCTGCTGACAAGGCTGACAAGATAGGACCCTTTTGTCCATTGTTATTGGATAGGAACAGAACTTATAACCAGCTCCTGACCTAAATAGATCTTAGCACAACATTTTACTCAACATATCATATTCCATATTCACTATAACAAATATATTTACTACGACATTAGCAAGAACCGCCACATCCTCAGCCGGCTAATCCAGTGTGTGAAGTTTTGCGGAGTGTTTGAGTTAGCTTTGCGAGGCAAAGATGAAACTGAGGGCTCCACCAACCCTGGTAAGCCAACACTTTTGAGATCAGTCAATAAATGCTTCTGGTATTGACTTATATGCTGCCCCTGTCTTCATGTTGTTGCTGGACATATCTTTTTTTAAATGTGTGTAGGTCACCTAAATCATCAGAAAAATTGCCCCTCCTGAGAATTTTTTCAGGAGCCGCCACTGGTCTGGTTAGACTGTAAACTCTCCTTCCAGACTCACATTCAGCATCTCCAATCCAAAGTGAAATCTAGAATCGGCTTCCTATTTCGCAACAAAGCCTCCTTCACTCATGCTGCCAAACACGCCCTCGTAAATCTGACTATCCTACCGATCCTTGACTTCGGCGATGTCATTTACAAAATAGCCTCCAACACTCTACTCAGCAAATTGGATGTAGTCTATCACAGTGTCATCCGTTTTGTCACCAAAGGCCCATATACTACCCACCACTGTGACCTGTACGCTCTTGTTGGCTGGTCCTCACTACATATTCGTCGCCAAACCCACTGGCTCCAGGCCATCTATAAATCACTGCTAGGCAAATCCCCGCCTTATCTTAGCTCATTGGTCACCATAGCAACACCCACCCGTAGTATGCGCTCCAGCAGGTATATCTCACTGGTCATCCCCAAAGCCAACACCTCCTTTGGCCGCCATTCCTTCCAGTTCTCTGCTGCCAATGACTGGAACGAACTGCAAAAATCTCTGAAGCTGGAGACTCATCTCCCTCACTATCTTTAAGCATCAGTTGTCAGAGCACCTTACCGATCACTGCACCTGTACACAGCCCATCTGAAATTAGCCCACCCAACTACCTCATCCCCATATTGTTCTTTATTTTGCTCATTTGCACCCCAGTATCTCTATTTGCACATCATCTCTTGCACATCTATCATTATTTATTGCCTCACCTCCATAACTTGCTACATCTGCACACACTGTATATATATTTTCTGTTGTATTTTTGACTTTATGTTTTGTTGACCCCATATGTAACTCTGTTGTTGTTTTTATCGCACTGCTTTGCTTTATCTTGGCCAGGTCGTAGTTGTAAATGATAACTTGTTCTCACCTGGCTTACCTGGTTAAATAAAGATTAAATAATAATAATAAAAATATCCAGCTAGCGAACGAGCTAGCTACGTCTGGCCACTCCTTTTAGATTAAAATAACAACTTACCGGCAAACCTAGCTAAAACACCGGACTGATATAATGGGTCGAATCGATAACTATTCATAAAATGTAAGCTATAGTTACAATTTGACAAAACTATGTATCTAGTTAACTTCTAACTTACATTAGCCAGCCTAGCTATCCAGTTTAGGAACTGCTGCATGCTAGCAGTGCTTGTTATCCAGAAGGTCGGGATTCGAAGCGAACATTTGTGTAAAACGACACCATAGCACTTTTTTTTTTTTTAAAGGGCGTCATTAAATCACAATAATGATAGATAGCTACTTACATTATAACTTTAACTGGCTACGGGTCCCGCATTCCTCTCCGGAGTCAAATATGAGATGGTTAAAGATAATTACAGGCAGCATGTTCAGTTTCAGGATGGACCATATGGCGTGAGGGTTTTATAGGGGTTTTGGCGTACTATAACCCCAAAATGTGTATTGCCGCCACCAATTGGACGGGTTGAAAAAACAAGGTAAAAAGAAAATCCATACGTGATAGGACAAACTAACCTAATCCACCCAAATAAAAATAGTACATTGACAAAAACAAAACAAACTCCCACTTCTTCCTTCAAATCTCCATATGGCTTGGCATGTGACAATACTCCATGCAACTCCTCCGCCGAGAACTCTTTCAGTCCCAGGAACCGCACCACCGCAGCCACAATAATCTATTTTCCTGGACCTTCTCTCCACCTTGGCAGTGCCATTAATCACCATAGCTATAACGGCCACAAAGTCCACCTTCTTAACCTTTAAAATATCTGGGTCCTGCTGGTGAAAGATAACCCCTGCAGCCTGCAGTGAAGGCTTATCCACCACCATGGACTCTTCTGGGACACCTTTTGAACCCTCAGCCCTTTTAACAGCAGCAGCATATGAAATGCTCTGGACAGCCCTGACTTTGGCCACCTCACTCTCCTTCACCCTTGTCAAGCATTCCAAAGCTGTGGCTTCATGGTTCCCACCACAATTGCAACATGTCACATTTTCATCACTTTTAAAACACATTACATTATGTTTTCCACAACTTGGACATCTTGGCACATGTATGGGTCTGTCTTTAATCACAATTATTTACTCCAGTTCCATTGAGGCTCAAAGACAATGCAAAACACAGAAGACACGTCAATAAAGAAAATAGTCAATTTATTACATTTGGAATGCAAAAACATAATATGCCATATCGTTCAATCCTGGCCTGACTGGGAAAACAGTAGTAAAAAGTAATAAAACCATTTTCAGTGTTTACCATCACAGCAAAAATGTTTTCTGCAGTCAGAAAAACTTCCCCCAACAAAAAAAGAACATTTAAATCACCATTCTTCATTTATAAACAAAACACATGCTATCACACCATTCCCTGCTAGATCAATATTCAGGTTGGCAACACCAATTAAATTACAACAAAATTATTTTCCTGATTATAGGGACTCAAAGATGTGTGGGGCTGATGATGAGAGTAAACATGAAGTACACCTTGGGGAGATGGGACAGGGGAGCATAGGAGTTAACATTTTACATTTACATTTTAGTAATTTAGCAGACGTTCTTATCCAGAGCGATTTACAGTTAGTGAGTGCATCCATTTTATTTTATTTGTATATATTTTTTTTTCATAATAACCGCAATAATATTTCATTGAATCCTCACATCCTCCCTCCTTCTCAAAGCACATTGGAGTAGATCTTAGGTTCCTCTCCTCTGATCTTCTCCTCCAATGCATTTTGAGAAGGAGGCAAGTAGAGGTTGCAAGGAATCAAGGAAATACAATTGACATACACACCAGGAATTGGACTACTGTAAGGTCATCCTAGAGAACGAGGCTGGCCGACTATCCGTCCTGCTGCTGGATGAAGGGGTTGGGGATGGCTTCCATGCCGTCCTGAGGACAGATGAGCACCACGGACGTCCCTCTACAAACCACCAGGCCCAGCTGCCGCGTGTCCTCGGTCAGCTTGAACTGGTCGTCAGGATCTGGAAACAACAGAAGGAAGTGACATAACAGGCCAGAGGTCATTGACAGTATGTGCAACTTCACCATGAATGACCCAGCACAACCTTCTTTATAAAATTAGCAAATTGTATGACCTTTTGGTTTCATTGTCAATTTTTTATACTGAGGGGCTACATCACAGATATGTGTTCCATTTAAGTCTGTGGGCAACAGTCTCCTCACCAACCCAGGAGTGCATTTTCAATTCTGTAGAAGTGATATGAGATCATACAATAAAGTCTTAGTTTCTGCTACATACCCCGCAAGTACTCGATGGTGCTATCCAATACCAGGTTCAACAGGGGGTCAAACCCCTTCAGAACTCCACTGGCTGAGACAAATAAATTAGGATTATTATATTGAATGGAATCATGGAGAAGAACACTACAGAAGAAGATGAGGACTGTGGCCTGTCATGGAACAGCATTTCCAGACAGGCAAAAGTTTGTCAGTGTTCTCTTCTGAAAGCCGCATGTCACTGTATTATTTTTTTCATGTTTCACATAGTAATGAAGCGGACTAAGTAAAATGTTATCTTCACTTTCTTTTCAATAGCTTGATCAAAAGGTAAAAACTGTGATTTAGGCCTACCCTCTCGTCCTCCCTGAAACTTCACACGGATTTGTTTATCAATGTATTTTGACAGGTCAAAGATACTCTCCTTCTTCTTCTTCTCTCCTTCCTTGTTTCTGTCCTGGTTTCTGTCCTGAAAGGAAAACATTTAGTATAATTTAGTATTGGGCTGAGATTGAACCCTATGGCCTAATCACAGGCAGAGGTCCCTGCCCTCCGAACTTCTCATCCAACGCGAGGAATCAAAGAAATGCAATAGAGATTCTTCCCTGGTATAGGCCATGGTAAGGGGCTCGTCCTCCCCTCACCTCCTCTCCTTCATTGCACTGATCTGAAAGCATTGACCAGGGAACAGCCAGCCAATCAAAGTTGAGCTTCTACCATATTGTTTTCACCTGTCAAGTCCTTTCCAAATCAGAGCAGATGATGGGAAGGAGATGAGGACTGGATGGATTTTTAACAGAAAACAACTAGGTTGTGCGGTTTATCTCAAATGTAGTCTAAAGGTGGGGAGAACTGAACTACAAACATGGCATGACATTTATTTAGCACGCTGCTATGAATCAATCACGAATTTGCACCTCACGCTAACAAAGATCTCAACCCACTCCATCTCTCGCTAGTAGTGGTCAGAATACTGTAACTAGATTGAAAGACACCTATTTTAAATTTGTAAGAACTAGAGAACAGATAGTGGAGGGTAACTTAGGTGGTTTTGGATAAGTTTATGCAGGGCCGGTTCCAGGCATAAGCGGTCGCTTAGGGCCCCTGGCCGCTAGGAAGCCCCGACCAAAAAACACCAGGAGCAATGAAAAAATGTGGTTGTGCATGATTAGTTTCTCTTGTTATGTCAGTCACTGAATTAATTAGCCATGTCAGCTAACAATTTTTTGATTGGTAGTTAGTCTAGCCAGCTATCTAAACGTGTAGTAATCATCAACGAATACCAACAGGCATGCAGGGCACATGCTCAGGGGCCCTGACCTCCAGGGGGCCACCATTAATTTTGTTAGTCATTCTCAATCAAATATCATATTAACATGGCATAAGTCATTACATGTGTAGAATTGCAGGAAATTAGCTGTAAAACTGCAAAAAAAATCTCTGCCCCATGGCAAAAGGAGTAGAATTGCACAAAATGTGTTATAAAATTGCAACAATTTCTCTCCACCCCATGGCAACATGTGTAGAATTGCAGAAAACTTAAAAACTACAACATTAGCTAAGTCTCCATCCAATTGGCATCAGATTTTTATGTGAATATTCTAAAATCTGCATTAAAAACAATATGCACATTTTCCATCAAATTGACTTGTAGCAGATAAAAGGCTGTGTGTGATGACTTAGTGCACATAAAAATAACTTTTGTGGTTAAATTCTCATGTACCGAATAAAAACTTAAAAGTTTTTCTACTCTACTGATGGTTTTGTCACAAAAAAAATTGCTTTAAAAAGCGATCGTGCACATTCTGGTATTGGCACGTGCACTCTAGCCAACAGCTGGCAGCCAAGCATCTATCATCATGTCACCAGAATAAGACCCTCAATATTTATTGGAAAGGAGTAATTTATTAATTTGAGAGGTATTTGACCCAGTTATGTTAGATACATGAATACTTAAATACATTTTGTCAATCTGACAATAATTTTTTATGATTATTTCTCAATTCAATGATGTTTGAATAACACAAGTAAATTAAGTAAATCTGCAATAATAATTTAAAGTCAAAATAACCTGTTTCCAGTAGGTCTAAATACTTTTTGAGTGCATAAGCTCATCCAAGTTTACTTCGATATGATGGTTATTATATAAATATTTGTACATAAAAGCATTTCCACCGGCATTTCGCGAATAATTAATTTTACTGACTAAAAAAGATCCCACCTTGTCTAGAGTATTTTGTTTTGTTGACATTTGGAAAGTTTACTGACAAATTAGCTATTTCCTTTAGGCCTGTCATTACATGTTTTATCCAACATGTACTTTACTCGCATAATAAAGGTTAGCTGGAAACCTGGTTATTTTCTCTACGCCCCATGGCAAAATGTGTAGTATTGCAGGAAATTAATGTCAAGAAGGGGGCGAGGTGGGGGGCCCCACAATCAAATTGTATTTGTCACATGCGCCGAATACAACAGGTGTAGACCTCACCGTGAAATGCTTACTTACAAGCCCTAAACCAACAATAAAGTTCAAGAAATAGTGTTAAGAAAATATTTACTAAATAAACGAAAGTAAAAAAAATACAGAGTCAATGTGCGGGGGTATAGGTTAGTCGAGGTAATTTGTACATGTAGGTAGGGGTAAAGTGACTATGCATAGATAATAAACAGCGAGTATCAGCTGTAAATAGTCCGGGTGGCCATTTGATTAATTGTTCAGCAGTTTTATAGTTTGGGGTTAGAAACGGTTAAGGAAATCAGTCAATTGAAATAAATTCATTAGGCCCTAATCTATGGATTTCACATGACTGGGAATACAGATATGCATCTGTTGGTCACAGATACCATTAAAAAAAGGTAGGGGTGTGGATCAGAAAACCAGTCAGTATCTGGTGTGACCACCATTTGCCTCATGCAGCGCGAAACATCTCCTTCGCATAGAGTTGATCAGGCTGTTGATTGTGGCCTGTGGAATATTGCCCCACTCCTCTTCGATGGCTGTGCGAAGTCGCTGGATATTGGTGGGAACTGGACCACACTGTCTTACACGTCGATCCAGAGCATCTCAAAACATGCTCAATGGGTGACATGTCTGTTGAGTAAGCAGGCCATGGAAGAACTGGGACATTTTCAGCTTCCAGGAATTGTGTACAAATCCTTGCGACATGGGGCCGTGCATTATCATGCTGAAACATGAAGGCGGCTATCAGGATCTCGTCACAGTCTCTATGTGCATTCAAATTGCCATCGATAAAATTCAATTGTGTTCGTTGTCCGTAGCTTATGCCTACCTATACCATAACCCCACCGCCACCACGTGGCGCTCTGTTCACAAAGTTGACATCAGCAAACCGCTCGCCCACACAACGCCATACACGCTGTCTGCCCGGGATTCATCCGTGAAGAGCACACTTCTCCAGCGTGCCAGTGGACATCGAAGATGAGCATTTGCCCACTGAAGACCTTACCGTGAGATGCTTACTTACAAGCCCTTAACCAACAATGCAGTTGAATGCAGAAAAATAAGAGTTAAGAAAATATTTACTAAATAAACTAAAGTTTAACCAATTAAAAAGTTACAATAAAATGACAATAACAAGGTGTATGGGGGTACAGGTTAGTCGAGGTAATATGTACATGTAGGAGGTAGGGGTAAAATGACTATTCATAGATAATAAACAGTGAGTAGCAGCAGCATTAAAAAAAAGGGGGGGTCAATGCAAATAGTCCGGGGAGATAAATGAACATTAAATTATCTGGCAACAGCTCTTACCAATTGCACACTCCCTCAAAACTTGAAACATCTGTGGCATTGTGTTGTGTGACAAAACTGCACATTTTAGAGTGGCCTTTTATTGCATACCGGCTCCTCTATAAAAAACAAAGTAGCCTATCACTGGCCCCAGATGCAGACACCAAGGCCAAAAAAGGTTGATCAAAGCTAAATGAATGCGGGATCTTCATTGAATAGCAATGGAGAGCGGGCATTCATTTCTTGATTCTGCTTTGTTCAACTTTATTTGCCGCTAGTCTGTGAATCTGTGAGTGACAGTAGGCTGTTCCAGATCGCCCAGATTGAAAATGTGCCAGCCTGAATGGCATGGTGCGCTGTTCCAAATGATTAAATTAGGGTTTGTACGGGCATGAAAAGTCATGGAAATTAGTTTCATAATTGTTGTTTATGTAATTCATGAAAGCACACTTTAAAATTTGATCAATCAATTAAAAAATGACATATCAGCCATTATCGGAATTACCCTTCAGTGCAGGTCTGTGTTGCTGCGTGTGTGCCAGTGCGAGTGGGCCGTTGCCCGAGGAGAGAGAGCGAGACATTTCAGCAGTAGGTATAAAATAAAGACAGAGACTAACTAGATCACCAATTCAAAACATAACTAGTAGCAGTTATCAGGCTAGGTAATTATAGCTAACTAAGCATTCATGTCATTGTTGCCTTTCCACCAGCACTGTAGAGCCTAAATAAATCTGCACCGTTGGAAAGCTGGGATTCTTCTCTATTAAACAGTAGCAATGTAATTGCAACATGAAAAATATTATAATAGCCTAATTGACAAATAACTTGCTGTGCATCTCCCCCAAAACATTAATATTTTAGCCTTATATATAAACATGTCTAGTGTGATACCTTGCTTTGAAGTAGCCTACCGTATCCATTTGATCCCTGATTTATTGAATGGGGGAATCATTTTATAAAGACAAAAGTATTTGGTTGTAATGTTGAAAAAGCCTGCACACCCTGGAGCTCTCTAGATGGAGGGTTGACCACGTGACTAACAGTGCAGTTCTAAACTCAGCAAAAAAGAAACATCCCTTTTTCAGGACCCTGTCTTTCAAAGATAATTCGTAAAAATCCAAATAACTTCACAGATCTTCATTGTAAAGGGTTTAAACACTGTTTCCCATGCTTGTTCAATGAACCATAAACAATTAATGAACATGCACCTGTGGAACGGTCGTTAAGACACTAACAGCTTACAGACGGTAGGCAATTAAGGTCAGTTATGAAAACTTAGGACACTAAAGAGGCCTTTCTACTGACTCTGAAAAACACCAAAAGAAAGATGCCCAGGGTCCCTGCTCATCTGCGTGAACGTGCCTTAGGCATGCTGCAAGGAAACATGAGGACTGCAGATGTGGCCAGGGCAATAAATTGCAATGTCCGTACTGTGAGACGCCTAAGACAGCGCTACAGGGTACAGGGAGACAGGACGGACAGCTGATCGTCCTCGCAGTGGCAGACCATGTGTAACAACACCTGCACAGGATCGGTACATCCGAACATCACACCTGCGGGACAGGTACAGGATGGCAACAACAACTGCCTGAGTTACACCAGGAACGCACAACCCTCCATCAGTGCTCAGACTGTCCACAATAGGCTGAGAGAGGCTGGACTGAGGGCTTGTAGGCCTGTTGTAAGGCAGGTCCTCACCAGACATCACCAGCAACAAC